GCAGGACGTCAGTGATGAAGAAGTGCTCACCGACGAGGACGACTTCAAAGGTCAGAGGTCACATGACCCTCACTCTGACCTTATGTCACATGACTCACTCTGACCCTGAGTCACATGACGCACTCTGACCCTGAGTCACATGACTCACTCTGATCCTGTTTCTACTTGTTCCTTTTGTCCCAGAAGGCCGTGCGGTGTAGAGCTCTGACCTCTGGATCTTCGGAGCGGTCCACACGCACCACTCCAGTCCAGCACATCCTCTGCCCTTCCCTGCAGCAGCAGGACAGCCAGCCTCCTCTGTCTCCACATACGCCTCTCCGATCTTCAGTGTTTTTCTCCCCTTTCCTTACATGAGTCGACCACAGAGCTATTTATTGACCACAAAACCACTGATCATTATTCTTGTGATATTTCCTCCTATTACCGAGTACCAAAACGAAATGCTAATATTTTCACATTAGTTGGCTTGAGGGTGTGCATTAGATAGAGTTTATACCTGACAACATGGAGCTTGAAGTGGACTACAATAGGTTAAATATAGATGTATGAACTCACTACTGTGTGGGTTGAGCAGTGAGAGCATGAGAGTTTGACTGAATGTTAGAATCTCTATTTGATATTGAAAACATTTTTATATTCTATGAATGTACGTGGATTCCTGCAGTGCCGTGCATGTGTGCGAGTGTGTGTTTGTGTGTGTCCTCTCCACGGTGCAGTAGGAGCCAGACTGAGAGATGAGCCATAGAAAAAGTGCAATATTAAACCTGAGCCATTACATGTCAAATGAATGTGCTTGTTTCTATTTAAAGCCATATTATAGAAAACGTAATAAATCTAGTGGCAATAAGCACAACACAGAGTGTGTTGTGTGAGCATGCTGCATACAGTACAAATGAATAAAGCTGAATCTAACTGAACCAATCTTCTGTGTCTGTGCAACTATCCACTAAAGTAAAAGTGTGTTATAGCTTTCTGTAGAATACATACAGCTGCTCATGAGTTGACATAACCTGTAGGTCTTCACAGGAACTACACAAATGACCTGATCAAATCATCCTGATGATTATGCGGAGACTAAAACTATTCATATAAGTAACTATGAGCCCCTTCTGTGGTGGAAGATGACCCAGCTCCAGAAGTTGAGAGGAAATCGGAGCACCTGGAGGAAACCTACGCAGGAGAGGACCAGGAGACAGAGGAAATCTCCACTCCACTCAGAGGCCCTGTTCTGGCTACAACAGCCTTCACTTCCACTAGATTTTTCTTTTGTGAATAAAAATTTGAAGGCCGTTTTGTGACAGAGGCAGAGAGAATGCACCGGGCCACGCCCTCACACTTGTGTGATAATCCCCAGGACAATGTCAGCCAAATGTGTTTTATTTATACCCCACAGACAGGCCTAAGCCACAGCCAGCACTGTGACGCATTCTTCCTCTCAATCCCAACAAACACCCATAATAGGCCCATGGATGAGCCAGCGAGGCATAGCATTACACCCAGGAACCGACCAAGCAGTGGTCAGGAGCTGCAACCACTCAAAATCCACATCCTCTTCTAAGTGTTAAAATGTTGTACTGAAGTTGGGTGAAGTAAGGGTACTCCCTCCTGCAGGAGGCATCCCAAACTCACTTCAGAGAAGTCTCTCCAGGTGCAGAGGTCCTGGTCCTCTCCTGGACAGCCAGTGTCTCAGGTTTGGTTCTCAGTGAGAGAAAGACAGACAGTGGGTGCAGCTTCTGCAGTGATGCGGTCACTGTTCTGAGCAGCATCAAACCCTCCAAAAACAAAACACCCTTATTAAGGGTACGGCCTTGGGAATCTTGTGTCAAGGCCCTGAACCACTGATTGGGAAATACTAACTTCTGTTTGCTTTACTTGGTTACAGAAAATGCTATTAAGCACAAGACAATTTTGATCATGAGGCTTTATGAGCTTGTGTCGTTGTGTATGACAGAACATGATGTTCTCATGTTCAGTTTAATTCACAGATAATTAATCATGTTTAAAAATGGATTAATCAGTCTTCTCACTAAGAATAAATGAGTCTGGATTTTTGATACATCCCTTTGCTCATGTTAAGAATGTGAAAAACTGAGGGTTCAGCACTCACAGGGGAAAACTGATGCTTGAATTATATTATCATAATCTGATTTACAATATTGACATTTAAAATGTACGGTGTTACAATGTCAGATAATCACTATAAAGCAGGCAGTAGTATGTTATGCTTTATGAACTAAACATTATTTTCAATAATGGTAAAAAAAAAAAAGTCCAGATGACCTTAGACATCGGACATGGAGTGGCATTAAATTCTATGTCAAAAATAGAATCACTGCAATTCGAAAACAAAATCTAAAATAAAATTCCTTTAAAATAGTTGTTTGGTTTCTATTGACTGTTTTGTATTACTTAAAGTAGTCCCAGTAAAAAAAGATTATGTCTATGGGTCCCATTCTGAACGGCCCTGTCAAAGGGACCCACCAGGTAACAAAAACGTGTATGTGTGTGTGTGTGTGTGTGTGTAGATAGAACGTTTGTGTATGACTTGATTTGATTATGAGAGTTTATGAGGATGTCATTTACTGATATCAAGGCGAAGTCAGTCTTTGTCAAAAGTGTCTTTCACACTCTGAGAGACGCTGGTTGCCAAGGGGAGCATGTCACACAAACAGCTGATACACAAACTATTGACTAAAAGAAAAGAAAAACATAAATTAAGATAAAACTTATTAAACTAATATTTAATCTCTATTAAAGGAGCTATACCGTCTCTGCAAGGTTTGAATGTTTAGCCCCGCCCCCAACTCGCTCACAGGCTTCTCATTTCCCCTACGCTCTCATCCCACGGAGCCATGTAGTCCGAATGTAGTCCGAGAATAGATAGTCCGAGCATAGATAGTCCGAAGCGGTCCCGGTCCCACAGGTCTCTTCAGAGGATACGATGTAAGCTAGCTATGTTCACCCGGGCTGATTTCTTTTTTGATCATTATTTCTCTTTAGTTTCCTCTTCTCTTCCTCACTGTTGTGTCGTTTGGGCTGTTTTGCTGTGTCTGCAGTTACAGCAAGAGGAGTTATAGCCACTTATGCTAACATGCTACTGTGTTTAGCAGCGCTGTAGAGGCTAGAGGACGCAGCCTCGTTCTGTGATTGGAGGAGAGCGGGCGTCACGCTAAGTCTCTACTCAGCACTTTTTACGGCCTGAATTCATACACAGCTGAATCAATGAGCTCAAGTTTTCAATTAAATTACGGATTATTTATAATACAACTTGTATGTAGTAATAAGCATGTTTATGAACTTAAATTTCGGAACACGCTTTGCAAAAACTACACCATATATCATTTGGTATCGTTTTTGCGACACAGTAACAATAAAGTCTTTCTTAGAACGTTGCTTAAATTGCGTGGATCGGGGAAGAAGGTTATAAACTACACACAAAGGACGTTACTTTACATAACGGCAGCGTAACGAGCCGTGGAGACGTGATTGGTTGAGCGTGGGCTGTTGCACACACTGCTCTTATCTATGTATAAGTTGGTCTGACATGTTTCATTTTATATCAAATTTAGAGGACTGATTTTGAAACTCAGAGGTTTGTTTTTACCCTTTGATTTGAACACAGCCCTGTACTCCGTGTGGTGAAAAGCCAACACGGGTTCAAACAACTCACCTCCCTTTCCCGCTGATGTCCAAGATAGACACTGGTCAAAAAAACTCTGCTCTTCTGTGTTTAAGCAAGACGACAAGATGAACCTTCTTATAAGCTATTGACTTTGTGCAGTTGAAAAAGTTCTGCAGTCTGCTGTGTATCACTGTTGTATCGTATTTGTAGTGTGATAGATAGTAAAAAACATAGTAAAAAAACAACCAAAGGCATTGTGTTTTTGTGACATTCTTCGATCCTTACTGTCTCCAGTGAGTGTAAAAGTGGTCTAGTGCATTCCATTGTTGGCATGCCGCTAGAATCCTGCAGCTGTCAGGGATTGGGAGCACGGGTTTGCCTTTTGTCTATGATCTCAGCTGGCCACCGGACCGTCATCTGCTGTCATCTGCCCCACACAACAATAGCACACTGCCTTCTCCTGCCTCAAGTATTTGGTCTTTTCTCAGAAGGGTCTTTCACGCTCTAGGAACCAATTTCAGTTCCCAGTCGTCTGTAATTGTTAGACTTTAGTGCGACTGACACGGGGAAGTCATTATTGTCTTGGCGAGGTCAATGTATGTAATTCCTGATAAATGAATAGCTTGTTTTGTTTAATGAATCCACTTGTATGGGAGTTTTCGGATATTTTTGTAAATCTGTATTGCTTTAAATGCTTTATTTTTGTTGTATCAGAAAAATTGACTGAAAACTCTTTGTAGTTCTTGAAGCATCATTGGGTCATCACTTCCATGTTCACCCCACCACATGATGGCGGAGTGGAGCAAATTTAATCTTTTAACCTGTCTCTTTGAACGTTGTGTGAGGCAGTGTGGGCTGTAGTATATTTTCTCCAGTCTGTTTGCTCTCATACCAATACTAGGAACTTGTTTTAACTAAGTATCCCCAGTTTTAAAGAGTCAAAAGAACCAGCCGCTGTAGGAACCTTTTAAATAAACCATTTAGGACATTTTAGATGAATGTCATTTCTTACTTAGCAGTACCACTAGTTATAGGTGTTTTCTTGATCCCTTATTTTATCCGTTCACTACAAAAAATTATAAAATGTGAGGAAATGAATGCTTAAATCAAGTGGTTTTTGTCTTAATTTGACTACATTCTGCCTGTTTTAAAACAAGATTTGCCAATGGCACAAGAAATGTAGTTTTATTTCAAGAACTGTTCCTTCATTTTCTCATTTCAAGGGAAACATTTTTTAACAACAAGATAATTCTGTTTGTCTTTTTGGCATCTTTTTTTAAGGCTGTCAAAATGTGCTCAAATGTTGATACCTTTTCCCAAAATGTAGCATGACTTATTTTTCCTGACTTTTTGCAGTGTTTTTCATGATTATCCATATATGGTAAGATTAGAGAAATATACGAAATATACATGTCACATTTGGCATGAATCACTCAGATTGTGCAAAAGACAGAAATGTGCAACACTTAAAAAAGGTTAAAAAATATAGTCTGTGCAGGATATAATTGTGTACAATAAAATAGTATATATATGTACTACTTTAATTTAATTTATTTCCAAATTGAAAGTCATCAACATCTTGTGGAAAATGCCTGTGCTACGTTTGCATGTGTTGTGCAGGCCGAGGCAGAGGTGGCCTCCCTGAACCGCAGGATCCAGCTGGTGGAGGAGGAGTTGGACCGCGCCCAGGAGCGACTGGCTACAGCCCTGCAGAAGCTGGAGGAAGCGGAGAAAGCAGCAGACGAGAGCGAGAGGTGCTCTATACCCCTGCACAGCAAAACATTCATTCATTCATTTTTACCCCCTTTATTAAAATGCCATCCAATCTTCATAGCACCAGCTCCTCACTGATGCTGGAGAGTCCACGGGAGAATGGTTGCTCCGTCAGTGACAACACAGTTTTGGTTTTTCAATGGGGGCTTCAGGCAAAGTAGGGTCAAGGGTCTTGCCCGAGGCTACAACAACAGCAGACATTAGTGGGAGCAGATGGAGTATAGGTCTCGTGGGAACACTTGACCAGCGGTTCCGAATACCAATACTCTGCCAACTGTGCCACTCTTAGGGTTATATACAAACAAATTCCCACCTCCAATCTTCCACTACCACCGCACCCAAAAAATATATATACTTTTTTGAAAATGAGTGCCTTAAAGCCTAAAACTGTCTGAATGCTCACATCTTGCCATAACCATTAGATGTAGTCCATATGTGTGTAATCTCCTCTCAGTACATTTACAGTTGTTCTGCAAGAGCCTCAGAGCTGTGTTCAGTGTGTTGGTCAATAAACAGCATCATGAAGTCCAAGGAGCTCAAGAGAAAGGCAGATAGGAACGTCCAAACTCACAGCTCCAATAATATTCATACACTACACAAGTCTGGGCTTTATGGATGAGTGAGAAACATAAAGCCAGATTGAAAGAAAGAGGCAAAAAAGGGGCACATCTAACATTCGCAAGAAGGTTCTGTGGTCAGGAAATCTTTTCCCCAAATGCAAAATATTATGGGTAAAAATGAATGCTTTTTTAAACTTTTGAAGAATTGATTCATTGAAATATTCAGTTTCATTTATTTTTGAAAAGCCCTAATACACAACAGCACTCGTCTTGGAGGACTTTACAAAGTTGTCGATTCCCCAATAACAGATCAGAGAACACTGGAAAGCCATTAGTCCATATGTCCATAAATGTTAATAAATGTTAATACATGTGGTTAAACCCTCCTGCATCTGCAACGAATGACTGTATTTTAAAGAATCTCAAAGGGATCCAGGACTCAGGTTGTAGACCCAGGACTAAGGCTATAGAACCAAGACTGAGGCTGTAAACCCAGTTTTCAGGCTGTAGACCCAGGACTCAGGCTGCAGAACCAAAACTCGGGCAGAACCAAGACTGAGGCTGTGTAGAACCAAGACTGAGGCTGTGTAGAACCAAGACTGAGGCTGTGTAAAACCAAGAATGAGGCTGTGGACCCAGGACTCAGGCTGTAGAACCAAGACTCAGGCAGAACCAAGACTGAGGTTGTGTAGAACCAAGACGGCTGCAGATTGAGTCCTGGATCTGTCCAGACTGTATATCCATTTGAATTTTCTTTTGTGGGAATGTATTTATAATTATGAAACAAAAGGAAATGAATGGGGTTCTCGCTAAAATTGTGTAGATTACAATAATCTGGATCCACTGAGAGAGCAGAGGTACATGACACTCCACAGGGGGATGAAGGTGATCGAGAACAGAGCCCTGAAGGACGAGGAGAAGATGGAGCTGCAGGAGATCCAGCTGAAGGAGGCCAAACACATCGCAGAGGAGGCGGACCGCAAGTATGAGGAGGTCTGTGGCACGCGCACACGCACACACGCACACACACACACACACACACACACGCACTCTTTATGCAACAACACCATCATATCATACTGTCCCGTCTGCAGGTGGCCCGTAAACTGGTGATTGTGGAGGGAGAGCTGGAGCGCACAGAGGAGCGAGCAGAGCTGGCAGAGGCGTAAGTTTCAACAACAACAACAAAAACCATTCACATTACACAACAAAAATACCAAAATATTAGGTAATAAAGGCATAAATCCACTGGGTTTTATATTATTTTTAGTATATTCTGACTGTCTTAAAACGATTTGCCAACGGGACAAGTCTTCTAGGTCTTAAACGGTTTCCTCATTCTTTTCTAATTTCTTGTGTCTTTTAAAAACAAGATCATTCTGCTTGTCCCACTGGCAAATCTGGTTTTAAGGCACCCCAAATGTGCACAAATTAAGACATATTTTGCCAAATTCTAGCATTTTTGGTGATCTACCATCTTTTTTTACTGACATAAATTTTTTTATTGACAACTCTCCTTGATCCATTGATATATTGTTTTAAGGTGTAAGCTGTTTGTTTAGGCCGAGTCGGTTTTAACTTAACTTGTCCACTCATCTACAGGAAGTGTGCTGAGCTGGAGGAGGAGCTGAAAAACGTCACCAACAACCTCAAGTCGCTGGAGGCGCAGGCAGAGAAGGTACAGTGAGGCCTTCAACAGGACACGGGCTGGGACACAAACTGGGATGTTACAACCTAAACTGTCAGGATGGACTTCACATGGGAGAGGGAATGGATGGATGGAGAGTGATCAAAATGCATCTGATATCTATACATTGTGTGAGCATAAACAAATATACACTATTGTCTGCCCAAGTAGTACAGTATTTTTTTGCTTATATTATAAATCCATTAAACCACAAACAATTCCAAAGTGTCTCCATTCCTCTATTCCTTAAGATTAAGAGATCCTTTATTTGTCCCACAGTGGGGAAATTTCAGTGTGGCATCACAAGTTATAGAACAGTAGGAAAGAGGAGCACACCACACACGTTATCCTGAACAGTAGCTGCCCTAATTAAAATAAAACTAAATCTCTAAATCTCTAGAATCTATAATAAGTATAAAAACTCTATCTTGGAAATAATAATAGATATAAAAATGTAACATTATTTACAAAGTACTGTGTGTTCTAGTGCAAGTAAAGTGTGGTTATATGTTAGCATCTGTACATTGTTGACATTTTCACCAATTGAGTGAGTCTGTTTTGCAAATATTTTCTAATACATGTATCATCATCATCATCATCATCAGTGCAAATGTCATATTTTCCTCTCCTGCTCTTCACCCACAGTACTCGCAGAAAGAGGACAAGTATGAAGAGGAGATAAAGATCCTGACCGACAAGCTGAAAGAGGTGAGAGCACCTCCCTCATACACCAGTATCACACCAGTACTACACCAGTGTAACCAGTACTACACCAGTGTAACCAGTTTCACACCAGTATTACACCAGTGTAACCAGTTTCACACCAGTATCACACCAGTACTACACCAGTGTAACCAGTTTCACACCAGTATCACACCAGTACTACACCAGTGTAACCAGTTTCACACCAGTATCACACCAGTGTAACCAGTACTACACCAGTGTAACCAGTACAACACCAGTACTACACTGGTAGAACACCATAGGCCTGTTCTGTAACATCATCCTCAGGTGGAACAACTGTTTAATCAAATCTACTTTAAAGCTGGTGTTTGTAAAGTAAAAGCCACATTAAATAGAATGTCTGTTTATTAGTTTCCACGTGGATGTATTTTTTCCTCTGATTAACTGAGTTCAGGTGAAACTCAGGGCGACATAGCTCAGTTGGTAGAGCATTGGCCTTTGGGCCTGAAGGTCGTGGGTTCGAGCCCACCGTAAGACCTACTTCACGACTCCCACTGATGACTGCTGTCGTTGTGTCCTTGGGCAAGACACTTAACCCTACTTTGCCCAAAGCCCCCGACTGAAAGATCTCAGCTCCTGTGGACTCATCACCTGCAGGAGGATCAGTGAGGGGCTGGTGCTCTGTGACTGGGTGCAGCTCTGACTGCCACCCCCCGACCCAGAAATGGATTAAGGGGAAGAAAATGGATGGATGGAGAATGATACATGAAATTGTATACAGAGAAATGTGGACCCTCTGAAAACCATAATCCTGCATGAGTTCTTAGTTCGGGCCCTTTTGCTAGAACCCCTGTCCTAATGCTGCGAGGCATGGATGCTCTCAGCCTGTGGCTCTGCTTCAATAGCATCTTTCTTTTATCAATGCCACGTTCTCTGGAGTTCAGGTCAGCACAGAAATCTGATGGTCTCCATAAATCTTCTCTGCTGAAGAAAGCATGAAGTATTCTCAAATCTCCTGGAGATGGTTGTTTTGACTCTGAACTTAGGAGAGCAGAGTGGACCAACACCAGCAGAACCCAAAAATCATCACAGAATGAGGAAACTTCACACTGGACCTCAACTTTTTTACTTTCTTCCTCAAACAACCATTAAATGTTTAAGTTTAGCTTAGAGCCGTTTAACAAGAGAAATACAACATTTATAGTTCATGTCCAAGAAACGTCTGTGTGAGGTGCTTTTGGTGCACTGACTCCAGCCTCAGTCCACTCCTGTGAAGGTCCCCCACACGTCAATGTGTTTTGAGAAACCAGTTTCTTCTGCCATTACTCTTTGAGTCTTTCTCTCCTTATGGAGGGTGTCAGAGATGGTTTTCTGCACAGCTGTCTTGTGTTTTCCCCATGATGGTGAATCAGACTGAGAACATTTAAAGTCTCAGGGCTCCTTTGTAATTTAGTCCCTTTTCCACAATATTCTGATCTTCTGAGATTTTGAAATGGTTTTTTACAAGCTGTAAGCCTAAATGTTTTACGTTAGTGTAATCATTATAGTTTCACCTGTGAATGGGATGCAGAGGCCAAAACGACAGTGCGCATCACAAAGGGTCCAGTTTGGAGTAAATAATACCGTTTCCACAGGCGGAGACACGAGCAGAGTTTGCTGAGAGGTCTGTGGCCAAACTGGAGAAGACCATAGACGATCTAGAAGGTAAAGTCCTGTTCACTTGTACACTTTTACATAAGACACACGGGACTCATGATGGTTTCTGTGTGACAGACGAGCTTTATGCTCAGAAGCTCAAGTACAAAGCCATCAGCGAGGAGCTGGACCACGCCCTCAACGACATGACCTCTATGTGAGTATTCTGCAGCCACACTCTGGGCTGCGGCCTCTACGACAGGAGGACTGGGCCAATCACTGTTCTGAAGGATCCATCTATGGTCTGTCTGAACGAGGACAAAACACATCCTTTGAAAGAAAACATATTTTACTTTTATTCAAGACTATTCCTGAAACAGAAACACATAATCCATTCACAAATATAAATGTGTATTTATTGGCAACATAAACGATGCATTGCTTTGTTGGACTACAGTGGATGTTGTACAAAAATATCACTATGAAGTTACAGAACTGCGTTGACAAGTTTGGTTCAAATGCTTTTCCTTTTCCACTGTTTTGTGTGCAGCTAAAGAACCGTCCTCTCATCTTTCCTGGATCCACGAGCAGTAAACATGAGTCTGATCCCTCAGAGAAGCAGAATATACAGAGGAACACGCTGTGAGGACTGGGATCAGCGCACACTTGTTAACAGTTTTGGTCTTATTATCATGCATTAGTCATTTTACATAAAAAAATAAACATCACTAAAACATTGTGCATCTTCTTTTTGCCCTGCACACATAATGAGGTAAGAGTCACAAGCTGATAAAGTGATGCTGGTGTTTGCTCCACACCATTTGTCCCCCGGGCAGGTCATGGTCAGACCCTCAGCGTTGGGGGTCTCTCTGAGCAGCACAACGATGGGAGGAGATCACATCGCTGCCTCCGAGTGTCTTCAAAACTGCAGAATTCTAGAAAAAGTTAAGAACTAATCAACATTCATCAACTCTATTGTTATGCTGTGTTTTTTTAATAGTCAAATTATTCGTCTTGTGGAGTCTACTGGTCAAAGCAACGGGAGAGACGGGACTGATTCTGCGTGTGTGCCTGATATGTCTCTGATCCACATTCCGTTATTGATAATTGGGAGATGAATAATAATGGATTACTTTACTCTCACATTCGCTGCCATTGCCAAACTACAAGCAGCAAATTTGGCGGTGTCGGTGGCGTCACTGACACCGACCTACAACACCCGCCTCCCTCGCTCGCTGAATGGTTGGAGGGGATTCAACCGAGGAAACTGCAGCCACTAGGATCAGACCCAGACGTACATGTAGGAAATAAAAATTGACCAGACTTTAACGATTGCTAGGGGCAGAAGGCCGGATTGCTGACTGGATGTGACCCCAGCACGATTTCTAAGATTGCTTTAACCAAACGGGGTTAAGTTGAAACAAGAGATCCACTAGTTGTTATGTCCTGACATGCTGTGTATCCTCAAGAATCTTTTGGAGTAAGAAAAAGGGGCCACACAACTGTGGGAGCAGATGCAGAAAACTTGTAGTGAACTCACCTGTGAACGCTGCTTCAGGTGGAGCTGCTGAGGCGCCTCCGCAGCAGAGACCCGGCTTTGACCTGTGCGTCCTCCACATCACTGTCACATTCTCTCTGAGGAGACAGCATTCTCAGAACACAGGAGTAGAGCCGCTGCTCCCCCACAGTGACAAATGTCCCCCACAATCTCACAGACAGGTGTCAGTCTTTCTTAAAGCTGCAATACCTCACTTTATTTTTGTATTCATTACGAAAATTCAATCTATATCCATGCAATGCATTGGGATATACATCTTTTTGAAGAAAAAGTATCGCAGATTTGTGCAACGACAATAAACAAAGGACGAAGGTTTAAGACTAGCTGCATTGTGAGGGTCAGTGCAGTGGCTCTGGGAGGATGTCTCACCTGCAGTGGGTCGGCCTCTGCCCCCGCTCTCCTGCGCTGCTGGAGGCTGAGCAGCCTGGTGCACATCCACACCATGTTCAGAGACATCTACAGAGAGCAGCACATACAACTTCAACACAAGCACCACAAAATACATCTACACACAAGGACAAGATATTCACCTTCCACTTCCTTTTGGCATTGAACTTCTTGAAGTTTTTCATGTTGATGGAGGATCGATTCCTCTTATGCATCTGCTTACGCGTGATGGGCTGAAAGAACATAGGATTTATGGATTCAAAAAGTGTAATTTGTTTTCATTGTCAGTAGTGTCCTGACAAAGATTGAAGATGAAGCATGTATGAGTCTTCCAGCATGACAATAGGCCTTTCACTTTCACTCAGCCCATGTTTTGTGCGTTTTCAGTCTCTCAAAGTGAGTATTGTGGAGCTGCTAAAGCTGGCTGCCGTTTGTCTTGTAGTTTATCTTCGTAGACAGACTGCTTCACATGTGGGGAGTGTGTTTATGTCTTTGTCCGTCAAGTTTTCTGTTTTCTGTTTTCTTTAAATTGTTGTGTTGGAAAAAGTTGCAGATGAGCACTGATCATATTTCAAGGTCCTGGGGCCGCCTCTTCATCCTCCAGACCTCAACCCAATAACATGGGTTCAGTTAATGTCATAAACTGAAAGCATAGTCATGGAGTGGTTACCTTGATCCAGGGGTGAAGCAGGCACTCGTCTGCCGTCATCCGGTCCCTGCACACAACAGCACTCATCAGCTCTGCACTGGCTTTACTGATTATGTTCATTGCCCATTTGTCAATTTGTTCATTTATACTTTGAGAATTTAGGACCAACATTTTAGAAGCTGGTTGAAAGTTTCTAAATATTTATATAATGGGAAATAAAGTGTGTCTGGCAGTAACTATTTTGTTTGATTTGAAAGAGTTGTATGTTATATGTGCAGTAACTGTATTTATCATGAACTAGTTGATAAAAAACAGCTGTGACAAAAATACACTTTGTGGTGTAATGACTCAGGTGTTAGGGTTAGGGACCGATAGAAGCACTATTGTCCTCGTGGGGAACCTTGTCCTTATGTTAGGGCGACAGTAGCTCAGTTGGTAGAGCATTAGCCTTTGAGCCAGAAGGTCGTGGGTTCGAGCCCGACTTTCTCCATCGACTCCCACTGTCAGCTGTCGTTGTGTCCTTGGCAAGACACATAACCTCTGGGAACACCAGCCACAGTGGGGCGGCTGTAAAGTGCCAAACTGCTGTTGTGTCCTTAGGCAAGACACTTTACTCCCATTGCCTAGAATGAGTCTGGTGTGTATGAATGGTTGGTGGTGGTTGGAAGGGCCAATGGCACATATCGGTTGCCTCGCTTCTGTCAGTGTGCCCCAGGGCAGCTGTGGCTAAAGTAGTAGTTTATCACCACAGTGTATGGAGTGAAAGAATAATGACATGTAGAGCGTCTTTGAGTGTCCAAAAAAGCGCTATATAAAACCTATGCATTATGATGTAACTGCAAAGTGCATTTTTCTTATAATGCATGATTATTGTATAAATGAAACAAACTTTGGCCTTTGTTTACTTTGTGGTTGCTATGGTGTCATATCTGCTGCCAATGTCAAACCACACAATTACATCATACTGTAAGGGTTTGAGTCAAATCTTCCATGTATTAAACTTAACCATGTAATGCAGAGATTATTAACTGATTATTATTCTGATTCTGATTAACCTTTTTTTACCTTGTATCCTATGTATCACCCACCAGGTTCTAATTCTCCCCTGGTCTCATTTGACCATTTCAAGACCAATATTTAGATAATCTGGTAATTGAAATTCAAAATGTGTGGTCCCATGTGGCTCAGGCTCTGCAGTGCTCACCCCGGGCAGAACACCAGCAGCTTCTGGATGAAGTCTTTGGCCATGTCACTGGTGGTTCTGAAGGGCCCCTCTCCAAGCTCATACTTCACCTCAGACACATTGTTCAGCGTCTCTGCGTCTGTGTCCCCTTGGAACGGGGACAAACCACTGAGCCTGAGGAGGGACAACTGATGAGTTCATGATATTTCCAGCTCAATCATGTTATTGTTTGAGAATATAAAACATGTTTGTTTGACTATACATTTCACACGACCGCTAATGACGAGCTGTGATGTCCATAATCAGAACAGTGACATGACGGCTGGATGTAAACAACTGTGTGTATTTAGTGCATTTGAAATCTCAATACAGAGAGAACAATGTTATGAAACAGACATAGTCCACTCACTATCAACGATATTGATACTGTGGTTTTCTAATGTCACTGTGATGTAAATAAGGCCATTATCTTTCTTGCACCTTTAGTTATGTAACTAAAGGTGGGCAGTGTTTTGGTAAAATGATACTTTTGGAGCCAAGTTACAAGTTTCATATTGTGACCTCTTGTTCCAACTGTCCCAAAGCTGAACTGAGAAGATTCTTATGATACTTACAGAATGTAGGTAATGACACCGATGCTCCTGGAACACAACAAGTTAACATGAAATACATTTTTTTTAACCTGATTTTTACTGACTCCAACCTCAACTGTTACTACCACAGTGTTATAATAAGACTTTGTGCTTTTGACTATAGTCATAGTCTGTGAGATTCATAAGAAAAACTATGACTCTCACAGATTCATAGTGAGATTAGGGGCCACCGTGCCGCCCACCACTAAAAACATGACTCCTCTTCCATCTCTGTGAGGAGTTTGTAATGTAAAGCGCTTTGTGATTCTGGTCTGTGAAAGGCGCTATATAAATAAAGATCACTTACTTACTTAGATTCATAGTTTTTTTCTTATTAGTTTAAATTGTGGTGTTCATTGAAACCTGCCTGTAAGAGCCTAATCCTGTCAGACCTCTGAGGCTTTGGCTTTTTTTTAACAAATGAATACAGATGGTCATCTGTGTGGAATGCGTAGATAAAGGAGCTGAAGACTCACCACATGTCTGCAGCGGTGGTCAGAGGCTCATACTTAATGACCTCAGGAGCTGTGAGGGAAACACAGGATGAGAATAAGAACAAAACTGTTCTGCGTCGCTTTATTCAGATCAAAATGTTTCTACTTCACAAATAATCGGATCAAGTTTTATCCTTCGTACAGATTAATTCATACATTCTCTACGTTTTATCCTGGTGTCATGGTGGCTGGTGAGAGGGGGGTCACCATTAGACCAAAGAACTGTATAAAACTGGTATGAAAAACATGAGAAATGTCCGTGACATTCATTTTCTTCCCCTTAATCCATTTCTGGGTCGGCAGGGTGGCCATTAGAGCTGCATCCAATTCTGAAGGCCAATGCTCTACAAACTGAACCAACTGAATTGTCTGACTTTATTTCATCATTTTGTGAACGGTACCACACTGATCCAAAGGCAAAAGCCACAACACCTCAGAGCCATGGCCCACCTCACACAAAACCCCGCCGACAAAGAACAATTTATTTGTCTGTATCCTGTTTACAAGAAATGTGAGGACGGGAAATGTGAAGCTATAATTATGACGACCTTGTGGAGAAGTCCTTTCTTAAAGCTTTCAGCCGTATCCACATTTTAAAGCCCTGCTATTCTGGACGCACGTCTCTTTAACATGCACTCACGGATGTACTGGGGCGTCCCGCTGTTGCTGCGGTACTCCTGCCCACTGTCCAGACGCTGAGCCAGGCCGAAGTCGATCAGTTTGATGTTTGGCCGCGACACTTTCTCTGACAGCATGATGTTCTCCGGCTGCACACAAGAGACAGAGCCTGAGCACTTTTCTAACACAACCGCTCATCAAATAAACAATATTTAGAATTAAAACCATTGAAAAGTGTTTTGGATCAATTAAGGCATATTTTGTCATTTGTGATTTCCATATAATTTAATGTAGCCTAAATATCTCAGACATGATGATTACAAGACGTTAAGACATTATATAAACACTTTTGTAGAGTTCATTCTAGTTAGTGGGATTATCTCCACTGTCCTAAACGTGTTTCAAACAGTCAGCATGTACCCGTGGAGGACTTTTGCAGAAAAATGTCTCGGACTCAGGAGAATCGGTCAAATTTGAGACGGCAAATGAGAGGGAATACAATGATAATATAGAGAAAAGCTCATAATCTCAAACGGTGATTTAGCTTTGAGAAAGTGAGAGTGGGACAGATGTCTCGAGGCGTGTGATGTTTGCGGAGCACCTTGAGGTCAAAGTGTGCAATGTTCTGCTGATGCATGTAGGATAGGCCCTGGAGGATCTGCGTCATGAAGAAGATGGCCTCTGTCTCCAGCAGCTCGTCTTTCTCAGCGATGAAGTCAAAGAGCTCTCCTCCGCTTACCCTGTGCACACACGGACTAAAGCTCAAAAACACTGCTGCCCTCTTGTGGCCCTCGTCGACATGCTTGCAATCTCCATCCCTGCCAGTGGGGGTGTACCCGGAACAAGAATTATCTAGTGCATTCTAACAACACCTTGTTTCCTCTCAGCTTTACAGCCTGGTCCAAAAGTCGGTTATTAGTTCCAGATCTGTGTATGGGGAGTATTTTTTGGGGGACCAGTCTAGTTTAGCCATTGTGGACTTTTGAGTGCACTCGTTAAATGAATGGGGCTTGTGCAGCTAACGCATAAAAAAAGCGTTATTTCATATTTCCTGCGGGAGGCGCCATTTTGAATCTGCCCATGTCACATACATTTCAACTGAGGAAATAGGCGTCCCTACGTCTGTTAATGTTTCATGGAGGTGCTGTATATACACCAGATTTGGACCAGACTTTTTGTGTGACCAGTTAGCATTTGGTAGCCTTTCAAGAAACTGTTTTTTGCTGTATTTCAAGTTATATAAAAATATGCTCAATAGATAAAATCTTCCAGCTCCGGTAGTCCTGACCAAGCAGAGTATCAACATCTGTAAATGGATTCTCGGACGCCATTACTACGGCAACCACTGCTCCTGAAGTAAGCCTTATTGGCATCAGGATGGGTCAAATGCAGAGGACAAGTTTCCCTATGGGGACAATAAAGTGCACATTTACATATTCCAGTCTTAGCTCTTAGTGTGAGTTAAGATATAAAAAAATTCAAAACAAAAATAAAAATGGGGGACATTTAAAATTTTGGGGGGATGTTCTCAAAATTCCATGGTCTTGAATGGGAGCAGTCAAAATGACAGCTCTGGGAGAACTTCCAGAGCTGTCATTTTGAAAGAGCTGATAACAGCTCATTTCCACGAGCTGTTATCAGTTTAAACCATGGGTGTTAAAGTCAAGGCCCGCAATTTAATTATCATGGCCCCCAGGATGATATTTGATTAGAATTAGAACCAACCCGCACAGAGCCATTAAAACATTTTGGATTATTCATTTCATGTTTAGGACGTGTGTTTTCTCTTTGTAGAAAGTGTATTTTTGTTCGTGAGTCTGTTGACAAATGTTTTCACTTTAAATTACTGACAGAGCCAAACAAAAACATTGGATTTTCCTTTCCTCTGATGTATTTGACGTCCCAGGTTTAAACAAAGCACTTTAAAGTGATAGTCTGTAACTCTAAATTAATTACAAATTTTAAGAATTGTGTTAAATTGACCTCCTGGCCTTAAATGTTGATATAAAATAAGTCATTTTATTAATTCTAATATTACGGGTAAGTCCCGCCTTCCCTTCTCTTAGCTATAGCTCAGAATCCACGATGCCGTCCACGTTAACCAATCGAGTCATGCCAAGGGCTGTCAATCATCGCGCTGATGCTCGCAGCTGCGCGCATGCTCAGTTGTTTGTTTTCGCGGAGCCTCTGAATCAAGCTTCTATTAGGCTCTGGAACTACATGAAAACTGAACAAAGAATCCTGAACATCCGTGCTGAGGTACTTATGTATATACTGAACCTATATCCATAATCATTTATATACTGAACCTATATCCATAATCAGATCCTCTGCAGATGTGTCCTATAATGTGCAATTAATGTTAATAGCTTCTTCCGGGTTTGCTGCGATCGGTTTTTTTGTGCATTAAAACACTATTTTTTTCATTAAAACGTGAACAAATAATTCTGAAAACCTCCGTGCATGTGTATTAATAAGGTATTTGTATAATGTATTCTCTGATTAACATTTCAAAGTGTTACGGAAACGTAGGTGTAGACCAATCAGAGAGGAAGGGGGAGGGAGCTTGCGTCATTTTTTTTTCAAATCAAGTACCTCTCTGTCTCTTTCTGACAAACTGCAGACAATCACTTTAAAGATTTTAAAGATTATAAAGATTGAAACTGTTGATCCATTTCACAGTGACAATGGTTACCTGCTCTTGTATTCCTCTGCTTTTACCTCGTTTTATTTTCGTACTTGTCTGGTGCACACTGGGGACTTTTACACATGTAGTAAATAATCAAACAAATGAATGTGAATGTCAGAGTTGTGGTCATGCGTTGTGAACATGCTGGAGTGAGATGTGTGTTCCGTGTGCGGGGCCTCACAGCTCCAGGATGAGGGCCACTTCCTCGCGGCTCTCGAACAGGTCTTTGAGGGTCACGATGTTGGGATGGGAGAGCAGCTGCAGGACGGCCACCTCGCGCTCCACCTGATCGCGCTCCACCCCGTGAAGGCCCCTGGTGCTCTTACACACCTTTTGGAACTTGGCAGCATAGTACAGCCCTGTGGAGCGCTCGCACACCCGCCGCACCTGCCCAAAGTGGCCCCTGGGAGACACAGAGCACATCACACATATCACTGCAAAAATGTATAAAATATGAGGTCATAATTGCCTGAATCGAGTAGTTTTTATCTTAATTTGACTACATTCAGTCTTAAAACGAGATTTGCCAATGGGACAAGCAATTTAGACTTATTTCAAGAACAGTTGCTTTATTTTCTCATTCCAAGGGAGACATTTCTTGTATCTTTTTAAAACAAGATAAATGTCTAATCGGCCATTCTTGTTATAACCTCATAATAAGATACTTAATTTTTTTTAGATATTCACTTTTTGAAGACTAAATACTATGCACAAAATCTGTACATTTTGACCATAAAACACATGACAATATTTATTTTAATTTGATATGACTTTAAAATGATACAATTCACCCACATTTTTCTCACTGGGTTTTTGAGTGTCATTTTGGTCAAAAAGAAAATACGTAAATAAATACATATATACATTTATTATAGAGACGTGATTGATATTGATTTTCCAAGGACCCACAGTACAAATCCTAGAAGAATTAGGGATTAAACTGGTTTTAAATGAAAGTAAGTGCAATTGTGATAACATGAGATGGGAGAGCTTCATACAGTAAGTCATGCAGCGGCCATTTTGGAACATAATGGACTCACTTTCCTAAAACATCTCCGAGCTCGTAGAAGTCCTCCACATTGCCTGGTTTGAAGAGCGCCATGTTTCACTGCAGGAGAGCAGACCACACTCCATCATGGACCAGAGCCCACCATCACTGAAGCACACAGTCACAGGGAGTTAGCACAAAGAACTCACAGCACACACGGTCTGATATCACCAAGTTATCAACGGTCCAAAACCACTGAACGAGTAGTTTGCCCAGGACCAATGTTTCATGGGTTAAAGTAAGGTTAGGGTTGGGGGTTAGAGGTTAGGGCCAGGGCTCACTATGGGAAGGGTTAGGACTGGGGTAAAAGTTATGGTTAAGAAAAGGGTAAATGTTCCAAATATGCATCAACTTGGAACAGGATCCAAGACTCTTTATTACTTGGTGCTGTATCTTTCATGTACCTTCTCCGACTCACATATCTATCAATTTATTTTTCCGCTCAAATACCAGGTACATACATATGTTAGGAGACTTCAGTCAAAGTAAGTGTTGTCTACAGTTTTGTCTATTAAACAGAATTGTAAAATGGTCATTAAGCCTAAACAGACGTACAATGAAAAACAGACAGAAGTGAACAACATGTGAACAACAGATGTTGCGCCCTCTGCTCCGTGATTTTGGGAGAGGTACGTGGTTGCTTTGAGAATGAATAATCAGGAGTAAAGAGTAGCGTCCTCACTCTGCAGTTTATTTTCAAAAAGAACACCAGACCTTAGTCTAACAAACCAATAACCATGAACTTTGTAACAGATTTACTTGTACATTTTTAACGTATATACTTTTTATCCCTCATTAAATCTGTTTTTAATTGTTATGAAATCATATAATATATTGCCCTTTACAATAGTTTTGAATCACAATCCTGTATTTCAACCTGTCACACAGATCACGTTGACTTCAAAGATTTTTTTGTTTTTTGTGAAGTATAATAAAATGGTACAGTTCATTCAGTGTAAAAACAGAACTTAGCTAGACAATAATGTACCACAGAGGGATATCGTAAGGACATAAAACCAGTGTGTGTTTAAAGGACGGTCCCTGAGTAGATGACGTACTGAAGACGTACTAATGACGTACTGATGCAGCGTGTGCCTGCAGCTGCCTCTATGGGCTGCAGTGACCTGCTGTGGTCACCAGGGGGTGCTAAGTGCTCGGACACAGTCACTATTCAACACAAACAGAACTAAACAATACTGAAATGTTCGGGGAAAGATCCATGTTTCGGAGGATTTACCCAACGAAGTCTGCAGCGTCAGCTCCAATAGGTTATATGTTTGTTTTTATTAGATAAAGATTGTACAGAACCTGTACCAAACCGTGTACAGGTTTGAGCAGCTGTTATAACAGCACACCCACAATCCCATGAACCTCACTCTTGTTTTCCACTTTACAAGCTGACGTTGTGCCCTTGGGCAAGTCATGACCTCACCCAGTGTGGTGCTGAGCAACGACACAGCAACATCTACTGTAGGAACTAGATAACAGGGGGCAGGAAAACAAAACATACAGACATTTGTGATGTTGGTGGAAAATTACTATTCATTATAATAATAAGATAAGAAACGGGAATATACTCTACAGTTTCTGTATGTTCATCCAAACTATATCCAGACACACACGCACCATTTCCCTGATAAGAAAGATGTGTTTGAGGGCTCATGAACTCTCGGTGTCCTCACATCCTCGTCCTCGTCCTCGTCCTCGTCCTTCTTTCACCCTGCCTGAGCCTGGAAAACTGCAGACTGTGGCTTTGCTCGCAGGTTCGGCTGAGCTCTGCTCCACAGCTTGGATTCACGTTTTATGCAATCGTCATGTCTGTATGTCAATACTTTGATAAATCACACAGACATTGTCTGCCTCGGATCATTATACATTCAACTAAAACAATATGTACGGACTTCCGGTTATGGTGCGCTCCTAACAGCACGTGCGTCCGAGGCTCAGGTGTAACTTTTTAACTAATAACAATCAGACACTCAGTACTATGGACTAAACAGCAGTAACATCTTTGAACAACGCAAGGAACCAGAATGCCACCTAAACTGAATGCCGGGAAGACCGGGAAATCTTCTAAACCCGGGGGTAATTCCCCGTGCGCTGTTGAGCTAGCGGGGGAGCTAAGTAGCATTGAGGCTGGCAATGAGAAGGCTAGCGATAGCTCGTGTGAGATACTAGCCGCTATCAGCTCTCTAAGTAGTGAATTCTCGTCAATGAAAGAATACTTTGCGTCAAAATTGGACGGTTTACTGGGGGCTGTTAACAAAGTGCAAGAAGATTTGACAGCACTGACGAATCGGACAACTGAAGCTGAACGGAGAATAAGTTCAAATGAAGACGAGCTGTCCCGCATGGGAGCCCAAACTAGCTTGACTACAGCCAGAGTGGAGGAGCTCCTGCGTAAAGTGGATGACCTGGAAAACCGTGCTCGCCGCTCGAATATACGACTGGTTGGCCTCCCAGAGTCAAAAGAAGGATTGGATTTGTGTGTTTTTTTGGAGAGATGGATTCCAACGACGCTCGGGGAACGCAACTTTCCACAACCTCTGGTGATTGAAAGGGCACACAGAGTTGGCCGAATGTGGAATAACGGTACTGCTTCGGGATCACAAGATCCCACCGTGCGACCCAGAGCAGTGGTTATGAAGCTCCTCAACTACGCTGACAAGGTCCGTATTATGAATGCAGCCCGAAGCGCAGGCAACGTGCTCGTAGATGGAAGAAAAGTATGTTTTTCCCGGATCTATCCTCCGAGTTACTTAAGAAGAGAAAGCTGTTTGATGCCGTGAAGAGGGACCTAGCTGGTCTAAAACTTCAGGATCTGCGCTACGGGTTAGTCCATCCAGCTACACTGCTTGTGACTATCAGGGGAAGACGCCACACGTTTGAAAAAGCGGAGGCAGCTGAGACTTTTGTGCGAAGGCTGAGGCAGGAGAGGAGCGGGACGTCAGCGGAGGACGCGGAGTAGCGCTACAATCTTCCTCATCAATACTTAAATAACTGCAGGTGACTTTTATCCTTTCTGCTTCATGTGACTACGAACACTGTTTTGATACTGTCTAGAAGCAGGCAGTGTGTTAGATCTGGAACTATTTTGTTTAGCTGTTTGTGTTTTACTAATGTATGTTCTGATTGTGAAAGAAAGTGTGTATCATTTATTATTAATCATTACTATTATATTTTGTTTATTTTTTATTTATTTTTTGCACCGGGCCTTGTTTTGACCATTTGAGTATGCTGTTCCTCACACGTGTGGACCGGCTTAGCCTCATAGCTAGACTCAACCTTCGGGGAGTCTTTTGGAAGTGTAGATTTTGGGAGGGGATTGTGTATTTCATTTGGGGAAATACATCTTGTTATGTTCAGGTTATAGGCACTTTATGTTGTGGTGGTTTGCTTTTGTTTTTTAATCCTATTTGTGTTTTACCTTATTCTATAATATACACACTTAATAATACTTGTTACCAGTGGCGGCTGGTGGAATTTTCTACTGGGGGGGCTATGAATATGATGACTAGATATAAATGCACCACAGAATTTGACACAGTCTATTATTTTTGATAGGATGTGCCTATTCTTGTCAACCTCCTCATTGTGCTTTCTGATCCCTACCCTGTAGCTTTCATCCAGCTGGGATGAAATATTTATCTTCCCAAACATAGCTAATTTGAGGGAATTTTGCATGTGGATACCAGTCTGCTCATGCTTCTTTGCCTTTTCTAAAAAGTGCTTCAGATCAGTCATACCTGTCTTGATCCATGCTGGGTCAGATCCTGATGTTTGAAACAAGAGGCATGGAAAGCAAAATAAAGCATTAGCCTCGCTACATGCTGCTAGCCAAGATTTGGCGCTGAACCAGGTCCTGGACTGCTGACTAATGGTAATATTTGGCTGATCAGGTCCAAGCTCTTTAACCTCAACCTTCTCCTGGTATGATCTTCTCTCAAACGGTATTGTTTTGAGTGATCTAACTGAATTATTCTTTTTCTCGTTCTCCATTTTGCGTCTCTTTACGTTTGTCTCAAACTCCCACAGCTTGACCTGTCAATCACTGTAAACGGACGTCACAGACAGTGACAGTACAGGTCGCGGGCGATCCCGCCCCCTCAGGGCGCACTTCTCCTGCGCCCCCAAATCGTCTTATCTCTTGCATTGAAGAGGAGCTACTGCGCATGTACAACTTTTAACGAGAGTCCATAGACGGCTCAGGGCGCAATCTTTTGCGCCCTGAGGCGGAAATACGTCCTCAGTCCGACACAGACAACGCTGATGAGCTTAATCAATCCAACTCAGCATAAACTATAAAGTATTTCTTCCACATCTGAAATAAAACACACATACATTTCGAAATATTTTAATGTTATTATTTTTTTTAACGTTTTATTCAAGGTAACATGGCAAGTTGTGAGTGGTGGGGCGGCGCCCTAGCGCCCTCTATTGGCCGGCCGCCACTGCTTGTTACCCATATGTTGTGTAGTCTCAATATTATAATTCATTACCATGTCTTCTGAACTACAGTTCACATCCTGGAATGTGAGGGGTCTTAACAAATTAGTGAAACTTAAGCAAGTAATGAGCAGAATTAAGGACTTGAAAGCTAAGATTGTGTTTTTGCAAGAGACTCATCTGATCCCAGAGGATCTAGTGAAGGTGAGAAGGAGATGGACTGGTCATATTTTTTCAGCTTCTTTCAGTTCTAAGTCTCGTGGGGTAATAACTCTAGTGCATCGTTCAGTGCCCTTTCGTCTGATAAATGTAGAAGCAGACAGACTAGGGAGATTCCTTATTATACAATGTGAAATTAACTCTATCAGACTGAACTTAATTAATTTATATGGCCCCAACATTGATAATCCGGCATTTTTCAGGAATTTGTTCCTGTCTATGGCAGACTTGCCTGGTGCCTGTGTTGTAGGTGGAGACTTTAATTGTGTTCTTCAACCGGAAATTGATAGATCAACTGGAAGGGACGCTTCACATATCCAAACCAGGAAAGAGCTACTTTATCACAAACAGTGAATCTCAATTTCCATAAACACTATAGAAACTAATGGAGGCTCTGAGACTAGTAACTTCAAAGAAATAAATAACACTTTTAAAACATTTTATGAGAATTTATACATATCAGAAGTCTCTCCTCATGCATTGGACAACCAGAAACAATTCTTAGATTCATTGAACATCACTCCTCTAGAAGATAATTTATTGGCTGACATAAATTTGGAAATTAGTACCAATGAATTGGCGACAGCCGTTAGAAGCATGAAGGGGTCCAAAACACTAGGGCCAGATGGAATTCCCATTGAAATATATAAATCTTTTCACAACTTATTAATGCAACCCATGCTTGACATGTACAAAGAGTCTTTAAATAATGGAACTCTGCCTCCTTCGCTGAACACAGCCATTATTACACTACTGTTAAAACCAGGCAAGTCCGCTACTTTGTGTGGATCTTATAGACCAATATCCCTCTTAAACAATGACTTAAAAATTCTTTGCAAAGCTTTGGCTAGGCGTTTAGAGAAACTGATACCACAAATGGTACATACCGATCAAAATGGCTTTGTTCAGGGACGGCATGGTTTTCACAACATTCGACGGGTACTGAACGTTATATTTGAGAATTCTGGTTGCAAAGACACTGCAATTTTGTCGTTAGATGCCGAGAAGGCTTTTGATAAGGTTGAATGGCACTTCTTATTTGAAGTTCTTCAACGATTTGGGATAAAAAAGTCATTTTTGGACTGGGTTAAATTGCTTTATGCAGACCCCCAGGCTATTGTACTTACAAACGGGCATGTATCCACTCCTTTTAAGTTGTATAGAGGGACGAGACAGGGTTGCCCCCTGTCTCCGTTACTATTCACATTAGCAATTGAGCCTCTTGCAATTGCGATCCGTAATAACGCATGTCTAAGGGGAATTTCAATAGGAGATAACGAGCACCGCATTGGCTTGTATGCCGATGATGTTGTATTGTTCTGCTCTAACCTTAAAACATCAATACCTGCTTTACTACAATTAGTAGAATATTTTGGTAGTTTTTCAGGGTATAAGATAAACAACTCAAAATCCGTTATATTATTCTTGGACAAATTTGAACGAATGAATCCTCCCCTTCATGTCCCCTTTGAGGTCTGCGTTAGTGGCTTCACCTACCTCGGTGTCAGAATTACTCCTACCATTGATGAGGTTGTCTCAAAAAACTACAAGGACCTTGATGAAAAGGTTGTACAATCAATAAATAGGTGGAACAATTTACCCATCTCGATGATTGGCCGCATAAATATACTAAAAATGAATATATTGCCCAAGTATTTATATTTATTTCAATGTATTCCTCTTGCTCCCCCGCCATACTTTTTCAGAATAATTAATAGACTCTTCTCTGCTTTTATATGGAACAAAAAGCGCCCCAGGATTAGACTCTCTCTACTGTATTTACCTTATGACAGAGGTGGTTTAAAATTGCCTAACCTCGAATGGTATTACTGGGCAGCACAAATAAGAGCATGTATGTTTTATTTTCAAAGAGACCACCTCCCTGCTTGGGTTTCAATGGAAACACATTTGATCAGTATTCCTCCAAACTTATACATTTTCTCTGCCAATCAGCGCACATTACTTAAGAATACAAAAAATCCTTTCCTCCGGAATACATTGTTGGTTTGGGGCACTGTCTTGACTTATTTGGGGGAAAGAGCTGATCTTTCTCAATTTTCTCCAATATTTGGAAATGAGGAATTCACCCCTGGCAAGGCAGACCCCGGGTTTAAAATCTGGGCAACATTAGGTCTAGAGAAAATTGCGGACTTGTATGATGAAAACAAGACCCTCATGTCTTTCGAAGATTTGAAATCCACATTTAACATCCCTTCAAAGCATTTCTTTAAATATTTGCAGCTCCGCAGTTTTATTCTGTCCAAGCGAAAACAATGTCTGTCAATCCCAACCCTGTCCACATTGGAAGAATGCATTTTAAAATTCTTACACTCTAAAGGGCAGGTTTCACTATTTTACACTCTCTTTGAAAATAGATCTACAGAATCATCTCAACGCTTTCGCCGGGCTTGGGAACGAGATCTGCAACAAGATATTACAGAGGAACAGTGGTCAAAATGTTGCAAATTATCCCAGTCTCAATCTATAAATGTGAACTCCAAACTGTTACAGTATAAATGGTTAAGTAGATGGTACATCACCCCGGTTAAATTAAACCATTTTAATCCCAATATTCCAGACACATGCTTGAAATGTAAGGACCAAAAGGGCACTTTGTTCCATTGTATGTGGGATTGCCCGCATATTTTTTCATTCTGGAAGAATGTTTTGTCTTTTGTGAGTGGGGTTGTGGGCAAGAACGTTCCTGCAGACCCTAAAATGTGTTTGTTGAATTTGTACCCCGAGGGCTTTGTGACCTCAAAAAACGTTGTGTCTTTATTGAACATTTGTTTTTTGGAAGCCAAGCGCTGTATTGCTACTTCATGGAAATCAGACACTCCGAGCACTGTTGCACAGTGGTTGAAAGGCATGGTTTTGTATTTAGCTTTAGAAAAAATAAGCTGGGTCAGTAAAAACAAACTCGACAATTTTCTACAAATGTGGAATATCTTCTATGGTTTTCTTAGGAATAACAATATCTCAGTTGATGGTTGGACTGATGCAGACTAAGTATATTGTATTTTCATTTGATTTCATTATTTGTGTATATTTACTTTATCCAATACTTGTGTAGACACCCCATCCATGTTGTGAAAGTGCCTTGTGTTCATATAAAAAACTGTAAAATTTCAATAAATACATGTTTGAAAAAAAAAAAAAACAATATGTACATTTAAAAGAAAAACTAATGAATATGAACTTTTGAAAACCATTTCATTTCCAATCTGCAGGAAACTATGAACAGGCAAATTGTAATGAGTAAAAACATTTAACTCATTCATTTATAAAGAAGAACAAGTTTTCAAAAAAGTTTGTGCTGCAAAGACCTAAAAGAGTAATGAAGGCATGGGGAAAATACACCAGTTTGTCTTAGAAGCTGAATTTGTATATTGTCTCAGTCTGGTGGCTTTTGTCGTTACTGTATTTTCCTAAACAAATGTAAGTTTCAGAAAAACAATACAGAGATGACAGATCTCATCAAGTAACCACCAGGAATGTGTGTGTAACCAGAGAAGGCGGGATCATATTCCTCTCATCTGGTCTCTGATTGGTCAAAGTGGTGATGTTACAACTCTCACCTATCACTAAACAGCACACAACCTACAGTCTATGAACACAACACATAGGATAATTTTAGTTTCCCTTTCTTCTCTAATAGTTTGAGCCATGAGTCATACCACACCATTGTAATGCCATTGATATCACCACCTCCAGAACATGAGGTTACAAAAAGACAAGATAAAATCAAGATGAAGAGATATTATGTCATAGTTAATTAGAAAAAGCTTTACAAACACACACACACGGTGAAAATAAATGTAGAAACACAAACATAATTCAGTTACATACATGGACAATATAAACACACAGAATGCTGAAAGTGTGATGCCCGCAGTGGAGTTACCTGGAGGACTGATGACGCCTGTGGATCTGGTCACTCTCCCCGTGAGGGTGGACGCAGCCGCGGCTCGGTCTGCCGTGCCGGGGGCCCCTGGATGGCTCGGGGACGGTCTGATGTGCGATGGGCCCCTGGATGTGTCGGGGACCGTCTGATGTGCGCCTGTCCCTGTGTTCGCTGCGCCTGCTGCAGAGACGCGCTGAGGCAAGAGCGGACTGGCGCAGACACGACGCTCCCAGATCACCAAGAATGCGGAAACTTCACTTCCTCCAACGGCCGCTCCAGAGACGATTCACGGCAGAGATCCCTCACAGAGAACACACCGCTCTCCCTAATCCTTAAATTCCCACAGCCGTCATTTTGACTCCTCCCATTCAAACCAATGGTATTTTGTTTTCCAACCAGTTTAAATAAATAAAAAATGCAATTTATAAGGTATTCTAATAACTGCTAAAACAGTTAAAAATAAATTGAAATATACAGAAAGGCTAAATGCTAAGTGCAGACAGTAAACGTGTGTTGGAAAATGACTGCTCACATTTCACAAATAAAAGATAAATAATCAATAACAATAATGACATAAAAATAAACTATGGTAAAGATACAAAAAAAGTCACAAAGTTAGAAACGCAGAGTAAATACGCTTTCAAAATTTAAAGCCGTCAAAATGACTGCTCTGGGAGTGCTCGAAAGCGTCTATGTCCAGCTGAAATATAATATGTGGATTCATTCATTCACTGCAGCGAATCTGTGTGTCACATGTCCACAATTCCTTTGGGAAAACTGTATAATGTTGGCATTAAAACGACTCTAAGCCACAATGCTATATCATGCAGACATTAACACCAGGTTGTTTTAAGAATATTTGTCCCTCAATGGTGTTGTGTCATGAGTTATTTGCACCTGGAATGCATTTATTGACAGCTCACTCAACCCGCCCAGAATTTCATTATTTCTGGCAGAGCACTTATTGGTCCAGATGAGTGTGCAGTTGGGGAAGTCTTCCAGAAAATGGCGCAGTGGCAAGACAAGAGCTCTGGGTTCGGGTCGTGGTGCACACTGGGGTAGTCTTGCACACTTTTTCCAATGTGGTTTTACTGCAAATGGCAAATAAATTCTTGAATCTTGAAGCATCTCTTTTAGATTGCCCCTGGAACCATGGACTTAAATGTACTCGTGTGCACTCACCTGGCATGGGACTGCATTTGGAAAGTGGTTCTACTGAGAGGAATCTGTTACAAATGCATTATCTTTTGCATGGTTTTGTACATTGTCCCTTATCCATAAACAAAACTTTAAATTTACATTACTTTTCTGCAGTAGAATAAAAGCTCTTTTCGAAAAAGATGGCTCCTCTAGAAACACAAAAGGCAAGGCCGCTACGCCTGAAGCTCCAGAGATGTTGTTCAGAGGAGAAACAGCCTCGTGGAAACATGTGGATTACATTTAATCATGGCCATTCCCTTTGAGAAACATTGCCCCACTTCATCCTGTTGCATGATAGATTTGTTATTTCCCCACCCCCTTCACAATGAGTCACTGTTCTCATATGGCATTGGATGTGATTTTATTAAACAAAAGACAGTCATACGCCCATAGAAAAAAAAAAAAAAACATTTACAAAGCAATGTCGACCGTGCACTCTTGTCTCATGACGTGTTTAGTGTGAGGTGTGACTGGCCTCAGAGCACCCCCTGCTGTCTACACATTATTAAAGACATGTTCTGATCATGGTCAAGATCTTTGGACCACTTTGCATTGTGTAAGTTACTTCAAATAGCAGGAACATATATTATGCTAAATTGCATCAATGGTCATGGGCCGACTTACTAAGTGTTTTAGTTCAGTGTCCTAAATTCAAGACTTGAGTTCATTTGTATACCAATAAAGCAGGTTGTCAATGCATCTGTTAAAAGCCTTGCAGATATAGTTCACTTGCTTGAATGCTCTGTGCCAATATCTTTTTAAAAACCACTATAGAGACAGGGCCAGCCACAGAGAATCACTTCTGCAGTCTTGGCAGGAAGTGGACACTTTAATTTATCAAACTGTTGTAGATCTTTGTGATGTTACTGTCAAAAATATGTAGCGATACCGGTTTGGATGAATTAAGGTGTGCCCAAAACACAACTTGCACGATATAGCCCCTTTATCTTATATCTCCTCACCAGCCCCATCTGTCCCTGCTCTACCCCAGTTTGGAGCATTGGACCCGTTTACTTGGATCAGACTTTTTCAGAACCTGCTTGGCACTGGTTCTGACCCAGCCACACACTTTCTGAATTGTCGGAACTTTCAGTGATTTTTCTCCATAGATATCACTGAGTTTCTATAAATCCGGTTGTTTGCATGGCGATGGTACCAGATCCAGATGCACACCCAGTAGAGTAGGGACATGTAGGGCTGGTAGAAATGACTCTTAATGTTATAATCTGCTGATAAAGCTCAGTCCATGGCTCAAAACACTCGATGCTGCGACTGACACAGACCTTGATCCAAGATGCACATCTCCACACAGTCATTATTGTAATTACAAAATTTTGAAAATATGTCCAAAAGTAGCTTCCTCAGAAGGCGGCTCCTCAGAAGGCGGCTCCTCAGAAGGCGGCTCCTCAGAAGGCGGCTCCTCAGAAGGCGGCTCCTCAGAAGGCGGCTCCTCAGAAGGCGGCTCCTCAGAAGGCGGTTCCTCAGAAGGCGGTTCCTCAGAAGGCGGTTCCTCAGAAGGCGGCTCCTCAGAAGGCGGCTCCTCAGAAGGCGGCTCCTCAGAAGGCGGTTCTTAGTTCTTCTTGGCCTTGGACGAGTCGTACTTGCGTTTGCTGGAGTACCAGAGCAGCAGGGGGATGCCGATGGAGGGCAGGGTCATGACCCCAAAGGCGGCCCAGTCCAGCTGCAGGACACAGAGAAAGACACAGGTCCGTTAATCATGGAACAGTGCTGGGAGTAACTAGTTACTTTTGTAATATATTACAGTAATATTGTCTAGTTTTCTTGGCAGCGGTTCTGAGCATCAACACAGAAACAAAAGATGACCAGTAATGCCAATGTGGCCTCTGTAGAAGACATTTCTAAACCTGAATAGTTCACACCTCCTGTATTCTAGTTCAAAAGATACAAACATGTGAAGGGCTGGGGCTTTGGGAAAATAATTCAACATAATTCAAGGTACATTTTCATTAGATATTATTTCAATTAGCACATTAAGTCTGTTAAAACATAGTTTGACTTGATCTGTATTCTACAGTTTACTATTCAGTGTGATTTGTGTACACTCACAAGTGCACTGCCATTGCTCTCTTCTCAGTCCTTTGACTCTAGTGTGAAATAATTAGTGTTCTGGCCATTCCCAAAGTCGGCAACAGTGACGGGTCTGCGCGGCCCCCGAAACAATAACCAAGAAGGAAATAATAACCAAGAAGACAACATTTAAAATATGTTCTTCTCGTTATTTTATTTGGGTTAAATAGCCTCCGCTACAAACGCGCCCCATTTTGTTATACACAAATGATTACAATTTGATTATTCAAATCAAATAATCAACACAAATATTTTAATATTACAAACAAAATATTAATTAAACATACAATAATTATATTTTTTATTTTTTATGTTTTGATGACCTCTCGTGGCCCCCTGCAGTACCCTCGCGGCCCGAGACACTGATCTAAACTATACAAGAGGTCCTGTTTGAGGATCTGGGATTGAAAGGTAAAACTTTGATATATTGTAGAATTCCATTTTATTTGTCCATTATTTCGTTAAAAAGTTACACAGAGTTCCTGTGTGTCGCATAAGATGTCAACTGAGTACTTGAGCAGTGGGACAGACACTTACGTAGTGTGGGGAGAAACGACGATCGAACTCCCGCTGGGCCAGGATGCCTCCTTGTCCTGGGGCACTGGTGTATCCCACCTGAGCACAGGGAGAAGTGAGGGGAGGAGACTACGGTCACCCACACTGTCCCACTACAGAAGGGCAGCACTTACCACAACAGGCCCTCCCTCCTGAGCGACGTAGCTCACGGACGCTGAGGTGAAGTTGAAGTACCCAGCCTTCAGCGGCCGCAGCACCACTGTGTGCGACACATTACTGGCTCTACAGCACAAGGTCAAGGCTCAACAATAAGACCTGCTTTAGCAAGAATTAAATAGATGTGTGAGTGAGGGAAGGAAGTAGTGGACAGACGAGTCACCCGTAGCATCAGCCCTAGACCTCGGATAAGCTCCGCGGGCGAGAATTTTGAGGCAAATTTTCAGATAGCAACAACTCAACAACCGAAGAGCCAATCAGGAGTGGTGGTCTGTTGTTATCTGAAGCTGGGGATAGCAGGCACCTGATTGGGCGGTTAGAAGGGTCTATAGCTGGATTTACAAAGACATTGTCAAGATCTCAGAGGATCAAATCATGGACTTTTAAACCCAAAATAGTGAGTGTGAAATAACAGGTAACACTAAGAGGAGTTTACTTTATAATGAAAGTAAATGGAGCCAAATTGGGAGGACAACACTTCTTTGAGCCCAGAGATAGCTTTGTCCACTCCATTCATATACAGTATACGTTCCACTCCCTTGACCGCTGGCCAAATGTTCTAGCTATGATGTTTGTGCAAGGATACGGTGCAATCCTGTCCCACTTCACATTCAGCATTCCCGAAACAATCCCGAAGTCCTCTGGAGGAAAGGAATCATCCGACAGGTCCACCTCCAGAGCAGCGCTGCAAAACACACTTCACAGTCACCTTTCATCTGCAGGAGTCAAACTCATTCTGGTCAGGGGCCAAATGAAAGAAATAGGAACTGGTCGGGGGCCAGTTTAAAATAAAAAACTTTAAAAAATGTTTGGATTTACTATTACTATTTGACAAAAACTTAAGTGTCTTAATATTTAACTATTTAACTTCTAATGATGTGTTGAGTTAAAAATTTATAATAAATTAAAAATATATATAACATGCCATGGCAGCAAGTTAATAATAATCATTCATCATAATAATCTGTCTACTGTGATTATTTATGTGGCCTTGTATATGAAATTGTGCTGTACAAATAAACTTGCCTTGCCTAATCAAAATAATTTTAGGGGCCACTATAAAATGTGTTGTGGGCCAAACTCAGGCCTGTGACCCAGGACATCTCCTAATAGACGATATTAAGACTGGGGGGATGGAGACTTCTGATCAGTCATTATAATCATCAACACAACACACACAGACACACTTTCTGACCTGGAGCCCACGTTGTAGATGTTGTATTGTAGGGTGAGGTCGCGCCCCTCCACAGCATAGCGGTTCAGCAGAGACTTGGAGGCCAGAAGACGGGCCCCTTCCTCTCCAGAGCCAAGGCCAAGCAGGGCCAGGAGTGACAGGATCAGAACAGCACGCATCTGAGGACCAACAGTATACAGATAAGTCACCAGTTTGAATAAATCAAAGCATTTGTATCCCTTTCCTAATGTGGGTCAACCCTTCTATTGCTCATTTCAGTCACTGGGGTCAGTGGATACCAGGCAGATACAAGCCAAAGTCTCAGTATCAGATGTATTCCTAATCACAGTGCTCCGAAGAGACATGAAGACAATCTCGAAAACTACGTTCATCTGAAGGAACTGTAACTATTATTGTATAGAAAGCCTTCACAGTTAGAGCCATGGAAGCATCAGTCCTATAGAGCATCTGACTGAATGAACTGAATGTGCCATGATCCTCGGATCCTGAAGTGTGGAGCAGCTCAGCAGAGTCCAGACTAAAAGACTACATGGTTTACAGTAAACACATTCATATTGACAAGAGCTGAAGCCGCTCTTCATTCAATGATCACATCTGATGATGGATCCGTGATGCAGCCGCTGACTTTAGGCTTACGTGGACTTGGACACAGCCACGTCAGGTCTAAGAACTTGTTTTTCCGCACGGTGGTTCGAAAGCCCGGCTCCTCGGAGCTTCAAGCGGCTCCACGAAGCTCACCCCCGGCCGTGGTGCGGGCAGAGAACCGGGAAAATGTGCTAAATTGCGGTAACGTGCGGGAGTCTTACCTCGGTGTCTTCTCTTCAGACAGCACAGTAGACAGAGACAGCAGCGCATGCGCACACACTACTTCCACTCAAAACATGACGTGTCCCGGCGCTCCGCAGTACGCATGCGCGTCCACGGCAACAGCGCCTTCGGAGGCAGTTTGGTGCAGTGCAGGGTCTTGGACATGAAATAGTCATTTATTTATATGTCTGTGATGAAATGAACATGTCATTTCATCATGAACATCGCATTGCATCTGTCAATAACTCGAGCTTTGAGCATAGTTGAGTTTTGTCTTAACATTTTTACAAAACACGCCACAAAACAAAGGCATGTCTCTAGGGATAATATAGAGATAAACTATTGCAGCCTGAACGATGAATGAGTTCATACCATTCTGTAAAAGATTCCTCACATGCAAAAACAGTAGACATGTAGAAAACTACAAGGCCTACATAGTGCACAATTTATTACAGGTTTAAAGTGTGTTTGTTTGCACAAAAACACAATTGCACAATTGCACAAAGACTCTTTGTTTCTCAAATGTCTATTGCTCTGAAATGTTCCCTTCCTGTGAGGGCTCGCCGCTCCATAAACATGACTCATACTTGTCCTTTCCTGTAATCTCCTGGCTTTACCTCCAATGATGGTATTATTTTAATTTTTATAACAGTGTAAACTTTAGCCAAAATGAGAGATGAAGTTCAGCAGGTAGTACCAGTAGTCCCTAATTTACACCTGTAGTCCCTATAAGTACCCAGAACCACACCAACCCACAGGTACAGGGCCTTTTCTGGGTCTATAGGGCGAGTAACAAGATTACGTAATCAGAATATTCTTTATTTGAAATACAACACTTTGTTCTGGCTTTAATTTACAATTTTTTCTGCCAGGTAATCTGCCATCTTTAGCTTGAAGGAAGAGATTTTAGGCTAACCACAATGCATGTAACACTTCCTATTTGCGATGTTGACATGTGAGACATTGTTCACTTTGTTGGCACTGCTTTTAATTGTGAGGAAACGGAAGTATTGCTATCAATGTTGTTAAATGTAACAATCCTGTGATTCAGATTGGAATCTAAAATAGTGCACCTGACGTCTTCATCTGTCACTATGAAAGTGTGCGTCTGGGAAGTACAAAATTACCCTATTCTAATTTCAGTATTCTTATGGTAGACATGTGTGCCACCCAAAATCACTGCTGTTCTGATTTTGTATCTGATCACTGGCCACAACAGAAATATTTTCTAGAATCTCCCAACTTGAAATGAATACATTAAATTTGACAGTGGTATAAGAATAATCCAATTATGACACATTACTGTAAATTAGTCATCCTCTCAAACTGTTTGATTTTGTTTGTCCTTCCAGGGGTCAGACACTCCAGAAAACCTTTTTGTAACCACTTTTCATATTTGTAAAACCAGTTATGTTATATATGTTGTCATTGGCAGTTCTTGAGTGGAAGACTTTTAATCAGAACTTACAAAATAATAATGTGATCGAATTAATATTACACTGAAAAAGCAAACCATATGTTCTTCTTTTACAATCAATCATATATGAAAATTTAATCTATATTTTGCACACAAAAAAGTGTTTCACTGTGGAGCTGTCCCAGGCCTGTCCCGCAGAGAGGAGATCCTAGGGACGACCCAGGACACGCAGGAAAGACCATGTCCAGTAGAATGAGCTGGAGGATGTGTGTGTGGATAGAGAAATAGGGGCCTCTACAGACTGCTGTCAGCGGGACCCGGTAACGGATAAAGCAGAAGAAAATGTAAGAATGTTTTTCCTCTTATAGGAAATATGGAAATTATCTTAGGGAAATGTGGAAAGGATCTCAAATCTAATTCATTGTCATTTGACACTCTAATACCAATGGAAGGAAAAGTCTTACACAATCCAGTATAATTGGACCATGTAACATAATACATAAAAACTTCTAACCAAAAACATTTAAACGTGTTCTCCCAACACTGCTCTCCGTTAGATCCTACTGTATATGTTGAAACTTCAGTCCATAGATTCACAGAGGAAACACCCCATAGTGAGATCAGGCTGAAGTTGATCCTGACCGTTCGTGGGTGGAGTGAGACTGGGGCTCTGGGTGTGGCGCCTCTCCACCGCACTCTGCAAACAAACTCCAGCGACCGGGAGCTAAACTGGTTCTGTCCTCCTCCATTCACTCACCCTCACTCACACGGGCTCTTCGGGACCCCTGGCTGGCGCACATCTGGCCCCTGAGACACGCTTTCCACACGCAGATCTGCAGTAGTGTCCTCTCACAACTCAACATGCCACAGGTAAAGTTTCTTTCATATACTATGTGCGTCAGAACTTATACGCTTGTCCTGCGCTTGTGGGCCTGGGAAAGCGAGTGCGTCCGCCTTTGGAGTTGCCAGCGCGCCCCGTGGACTAAACTGGGTCATTTAAACTGGACTTTTTGACTTTGAGGCTGTGTCGAACTGAGCCAGATGCGTGCGTCTTGCATGTCCTAAGACGTGGAGGCAACATTACGCGCGCTCCTCTGTCTGCGTCATGGCTGGAGAGAAGATCTGTCTCCAAATACACATAGAATATAGATTAGTGCATGTGTTAGCAGCAGAAGAAAGGGGCCTGTTGCTACATGTGCTCTTACTCATAAGGCGCGGCTCCAGACGAGGTTGTTGGGCCGCATACATGGAATAGCTTTCGAGAATGTGCCAACAATGCGCAATCACACCGGCAGGCGGGAGCGCGTTGGACTCTTTCACATTCCCCAGTTCAGCCAAGTTCATCTGCCCTGAGAGTGGATGTGAGCTCATGGATTGCCTGAAGTAATATAGCATTGTAATGGCTCTGAGTCTGTAACCACTTATACACAGTTTGTTGATCACAAAAACTCCACAACATTACAACTTTTGAACAATAGTTTGAATACATGTGGCAAGTTTGGTGTCCAATTACTGCAAATTAAAATGAATATGTCATCTTTAATATATTTCACACAATGCACAATAATTCTCCAACTGTGTGTGACATCACCGGTGTTGGGGAGACGTTTCAGAATTCTGAATCTCTGCTTTAAAATGTATTTGGAGCAGAGCAGTGTGTTGTGGAATACGGAATACTTTCACATGTTTCTAATAATATAACATATATTTTTTGCACTGTTTTTAGGGATTTAATTTATCGTATTTTTGAAAGTTGTTAGACACCCATTTTAACCACTTAGAGTTCAGTTTTTACTCTCTGATATATTATTATACATTATTTTGAATCCCAATTTGCATGATCAAACACAGAGGTCTCAAAGGCACCGCAGGGGGCCCTCCAAGAGTCCAAACATCAAATAATTGTTTTAGAGTTTAAGTCAAAATCTATATATATTTCATTATGATTATTACTCAATTACGGCTTTGTACAATTGTCAATGTGTAATTAATTAGGAAAAAAATTACATTGTTCAATATATAGTGGGATTTGATATTGGGGGATTGTATTGATCTACACGGGTTAGGGTTATAGGCGCCACAGTGACCGCTCCTGTGAAATAATAATGTATTGAGAGTATTGTGACTCGAAAGTATCCAGAATACATACTTGTAATCTGTTACTCAACAATGCTCACCAGTAATATTTATCTATTGTGCTGCCGATTTAAAGACATCTCTTTAATCAGTGAATTCACTCGACTGAGACAATGTTCTGCTTCGATCAGTTTGTAATTTGTCCTTGTGGAGTTGTTTACAATGTGCATCTCACACATTCTTGCTTTTTGAACATCTTCTTGCAATTTCCTCCTGAAAAACTAGATTTCTCTTTAAAATCAGAAAACCTGGACAGAGGGGCTATTGTTTTCCAGAAGACATTTTTCCCCTGATTTCAATTTTCAATACATTCTTCTCTCTGCAATATAGTGAGACTCTGACACTCGTGGCTCATTTAGTTTATGAATACATGATGGAGAAATGAAGTCCTGCCGTACCGATTTGTGCGCTGCCCCTTTACGTGACATCCACTCAGATCCAGTGAGTGATCATCCGGTTTTCACAGATTGGGAAAAGAAATTGGGAGAAAAATGTCCAATTAAACCAGTGGGCGTGCCGTGGCCGTCTGAGTCAGGGGGAGCGATTAAGAAATCCTTCATCCGTCCCACAGTGGGGAAATGTTAGTGTTGCATCACAGGTTACAGAACAGTAGGAATGAGGATATGATACAGTACATGATACAGTACACAGAGTACATGATACAGTACACACAGTACATGATATATATAGTATAGCACAACTCTATTCTTCAAAAAGTAAAATAAAATCTCTTTAGCTTAATAAAGCTGGCGGCACGGTGGCTGAGTGGATAGCACTCTCGCCTCTCACCAAGAAGGTCCTCGGTCCGAATCCCGGTCGGAACAGGGTCTTTCTGAGTGGAGTTTGCATGTTCTCCCCGTGTCTGCGTAGGTTTCCTGCGGGTACTCCGGTTTCCGCTACCACTGAAATCCTGCTCACTAGGTTAAATCCTCCAGCTCCAGTAGTCCTGACCAAGCCGAGCATCAACATCTGGAGATGGGTTCCCGAGTGTTGTTACTACGGCGACCACTGCTCCTGACATAAGCCTTAGCGGCATCAGGATGGGTCAAATGCAGAGGATTTAATTGCCCTACGGAGATCAGAAATGTCCACCCTTACCTTTAAAGAAGAAAGCATGATTTACACAACACTCCAGTGAAAGATATACTTGCATGTACACATCTGCAAATGAATCCGTAGTATACAGAATATTACGGTAGTGAGTCATAATCTCTGTGGGTGCAACTGCTCCCAGTGATGAAACTGCTCTACATGTTAGCTGCATGAGTCTCTCTATGTAAAGTGACACACATGATGAATCACTCTAAAACCACATATGAGAGAGCGATAGTAAAGACATGAAAGTAGTTTTCATGTCTTGTTCACAGTGTTTTCTGTCTGCACATGTGTTTGCAGTACTCAGACCTGGAGACCGCCATCCACACGCTGGTGTCCAAGTTCCACTCGGCCTCCGCTGACAAGAGCCCCACCCTGAAGACGGAGGAGTTCAAGGGCCTCCTGTCCACACAGATGCCCAACCTGGTCAAGGTAAGGCCGCTGCTCCCGATGCGCCTGCTCCATGCGGCTTCATCCATTCACTTGGTATACTGTAATTCTCAGGGTATTTTTGTGTGTCCATCTGTTTGTTGGATTGCACCATAATTCAAAACGGTATGGGTGATGCTTCCACTAAATTTAAATTCTCGCTATTAGCATTGATAGTAAGCGGTTACAATGGCTTCTACTAAATATAATGGTCTCAAATAATTACCTACATTTTAATTTAAAAGTATACAGTCGCAGTCTCAACCTTGTGCCCAGTTTTAGTTCATGTCAAACCGACTGAACAAGGAACTGAAGTAATTTTTTTATCTAGTAGAAGTGAACACACTATAATAATACATTTGGGTAAAACTGCGCCTCTTGGCTGGGGTCTGCGCCCCTCGAGTGGTTGTTCAGTCTTTAAAAGATTTTCTTGTAGTTCATGTTGTGTGTTTGGGGTACCACTTCTGTATTTTATAAGCAGGGAGGGTGGAAGTAGATAGATAGATACAGAAGATGCTTTATTAATTCCCGTAGGAGAAATTCAGGTGTCCAGTAGCAGCAAAAATAAAAAATAAAATTGATTTCTATAAAGCTAACATTAGTAATAATCAGCAACAGCCCTTCAGGTCACAGCAGCAGAGGTGGAGTAGCCGCTTGGTTCGGACCATTTTCTCTGCTCTAGTCAAAAGTAAAATGGTAAATTAGCATTTTTCAAAAAGTCAGCCTTCCTCCAGTGGATTATCTTCTGATCCGCTTGGTTGGGACCATGAATCCTCTCTGCTCTGGTCTGGACCAGTGTAAAACCATGAACACTGTACTGCAGCTTAAATGGTAAAGCACAATACAGTCAACTCAATACAGTATTTAGAGGAACTTTTAGTTCTAGTTCCTTCAAATACTCAAGCAAAAGAATCTGTGAGATCACAACACCTGATTAGTTTCACAACAGAAACCAGAAAAAACTCCCAGCACTTTGTCACTTATTAGCACTTTAACTCAAGTAAGCGTACTTAACTGTACACTGTCAAATATGAATGACAGTTAGTGCCCATTGTTTTGTTTTGGATTAAGATGAGTTTAGTCCCAGTGCAGAAGTGTAAAAGCAGCTGTTACAAAGAGTTCACTTACAAATGTTTCATCTAATTACAATTTTTAAGTTTTTAGTCATTTGAAAAGAGCCGTGCACAGCAACATTAAGATCAAAGACAGATATGTTCTACCCCAGATTATAGCGACACTGCGAGTTTCCTTCTACATTCCCCGGTTAAGGTTGGTATACTTTATTGTCCCCGAAGCAAACTTTTGTCCTCTGCATTTGACCCAGTCTCACAGGGAGACACAAGCAAACGTCACACAGAAGGACCCTGGATATTAAACTCCAGGGTCCTTATTGCTGTGAGGCCGGATCTTCCCACTCATCCTCTCTGCTTCTGTAATGACTGAGAGACAGAAGTGAATCGCTGACGTAGGGAACGAGACCAAGAGATGTATGACTGTCACGCGGAGAACCCAAGGAGGACCCAAAATGTAGGAATGCAAAAAGAATAATGATTTAAAGGAGCAGTATGTAAAAATGTGGCCAAAAGTGGTACTGCAGCCTCTCCCTCTCTCCCTGACTCAGGTTGCCAGATATGCAGACGAATCCAGCTGGGACCATAACAGCTGAATAGACAAGAGTTTTGTCAACAACAAATCTATAACCGATAGAAATCCTCTTTTTATACCTTGTTTTGTTATTAATGATTTGAGAACATATAGACACCGAGAGACACAGGTACAAACAGACAACGAGAGACACAGGTACATATAGACACAGAGAGACACAGGTACATATAGACACAGAGAGACACAGGTACATATAGACACAGAGAGACACAGGTACATAAAGACACAGAGACATAGGTACATGTAGACAGAGAGACACTGGTACAAATAGACACAGAGACATAGGTACATGTAGACAGAGAGACACTGGTACAAATAGACACAGAGAGACACAGGTACATATAGACACAGAGACACAGGTACCTATAGGCACAGAGAGACACAGGTACATATAGACACAGAGGGACTCAGGTACATATAGACAGAGATAGACATACTGTAGGTACATATAGACACTGAGACACAGGTACATAGAGACACAGATAGACATAGGTACATATAGACACAGAGACACAGGTACATATGGACAGAGATAGACACAGGTACATATGGACACAGAGAGACACAGGTACATATACAGTAGACACACAGAGACACAGGTACATGTATACATGTATTACTATGGTAATCACTGCTCTTAGTGGCATCAGGATGGGTCAGATGCAGAGGACAAGTTTCCCTACGGGGACAATCAAAGTGTACATTTAGAGAGACACAGGTACATTTAGACCAAAGAGACACACAGGTACATAAAGACACAGAGAGACACAGGTCCATATAGACACAGAGACACACAGGTACATATAGACACAGAGGGACACAGGTACAAATAGACACAAAAAGACACAGGTACATACAGTATAGACACAGAGAGACACAGGTACAAACAGACACAGAGAGACACAGGTACAAACAGACACAGAGAGACACAGGTACAAACAGGCACAGAGAGACACAGGTACATATAGACACAGAGATACACAGGTAAATGTAGACACACACAGCAGGTACATGTAGACAAAAAGACACAGGTACATGTAGACAGAGAGACACAGGTACATATAGACACATAGAGACACAGGCACATATAGACACAGAGACAAAGGTACATATAGACACAGAGACACAGGTACAGAGAGACACAGATAGACACAGGTACATAAAGACACAGAGGGACACAGGTACAAATAGACACAAAAAGACACAGGTACATACAGTATAGACACAGAGAGACACAGGTAAAACAGACAGAGAGAGACACAGGTACAAACAGACACAGAGAGACATAGGTACATATAGACACAGAGAAACAGAAGTACAAACTAACACAGAGAGACACAGGTACATATTGGCACAGAGAGACACAGGTACATATAGACACAGAGATACACAGGTGACACAGGTACATATAGACACATAGAGACACAGGTACATCAGGATGGGTCAGATGCAGAGGACAAGTTTCCCTACGGGGACAATCAAAGTGTACATTTAGAGAGACACGGGTACATTTAGACACAGAGAGACACAGGTACATATAGACACAGAGGGACACAGGTACATATAGACACAGAGAGACACAGGTACATATAGACACAGAGGGACTCAGGTACATATAGACAGAGATAGACATACTGTAGGTACATATAGACACTGAGACACAGGTACATAGAGACACAGATAGACATAGGTACATATAGACACAGAGACACAGGTACATATGGACAGAGATAGACACAGGTACATATGGACACAGAGAGACACAGGTACATATACAGTAGACACACAGAGACACAGGTACATGTATACATGTATTACTATGGTAATCACTGCTCTTAGTGGCATCAGGATGGGTCAGATGCAGAGGACAAGTTTCCCTACGGGGACAATCAAAGTGTACATTTAGAGAGACACAGGTACATTTAGACCAAAGAGACACAGGTACATAAAGACACAGAGAGACACAGGTCCATATAGACACAGAGACACACAGGTACATATAGACACAGAGGGACACAGGTACAAATAGACACAAAAAGACACAGGTACATACAGTATAGACACAGAGAGACACAGGTACAAACAGACACAGAGAGACACAGGTACATATAGACACAGAGAGACACAGGTACATATAGACACAGAGAAACAGAGGTACATATAGACACAGAGAAACAGAGGTACAAACAGACACAGAGAGACACAGGTACATATAGACACAGAGAGACACAGGTACAAACAGACACAGAGAGACACAGGTACAAACAGACACAGAGAGACACAGGTACAAACAGGCACAGAGAGACACAGGTACATATAGACACAGAGATACACAGGTAAATGTAGACACACACAGCAGGTACATGTAGACACAAAGACACAGGTACATGTAGACAGAGAGACACAGGTACATATAGACACATAGAGACACAGGCACATATAGACACAGAGACAAAGGTACATATAGACACAGAGACACAGGTACAGAGAGACACAGATAGACACAGGTACATAAAGACACAGAGGGACACAGGTACAAATAGACACAAAAAGACACAGGTACATACAGTATAGACACAGAGAGACACAGGTAAAACAGACAGAGAGAGACACAGGTACAAACAGACACAGAGAGACATAGGTACATATAGACACAGAGAAACAGAAGTACAAACTAACACAGAGAGACACAGGTACATATTGGCACAGAGAGACACAGGTACATATAGACACAGAGATACACAGGTGACACAGGTACATATAGACACATAGAGACACAGGTACATCAGGATGGGTCAGATGCAGAGGACAAGTTTCCCTACGGGGACAATCAAAGTGTACATTTAGAGAGACACGGGTACATTTAGACACAGAGAGACACAGGTACATATAGACACAGAGGGACACAGGTACATATAGACACAGAGAGACACAGGTACATATAGACACAGAGGGACTCAGGTACATATAGACAGAGATAGACATACTGTAGGTACATATAGACACTGAGACACAGGTACATAGAGACACAGATAGACATAGGTACATATAGACACAGAGACACAGGTACATATGGACAGAGATAGACACAGGTACATATGGACACAGAGAGACACAGGTACATATACAGTAGACACACAGAGACACAGGTACATGTATACATGTATTACTATGGTAATCACTGCTCTTAGTGGCATCAGGATGGGTCAGATGCAGAGGACAAGTTTCCCTACGGGGACAATCAAAGTGTACATTTAGAGAGACACAGGTACATTTAGACCAAAGAGACACAGGTACATAAAGACACAGAGAGACACAGGTCCATATAGACACAGAGACACACAGGTACATATAGACACAGAGGGACACAGGTACAAATAGACACAAAAAGACACAGGTACATACAGTATAGACACAGAGAGACACAGGTACAAACAGACACAGAGAGACACAGGTACATATAGACACAGAGAGACACAGGTACATATAGACACAGAGAAACAGAGGTACATATAGACACAGAGAAACAGAGGTACAAACAGACACAGAGAGACACAGGTACATATAGACACAGAGAGACACAGGTACAAACAGACACAGAGAGACACAGGTACAAACAGACACAGAGAGACACAGGTACAAACAGGCACAGAGAGACACAGGTACATATAGACACAGAGATACACAGGTAAATGTAGACACACACAGCAGGTACATGTAGACACAAAGACACAGGTACATGTAGACAGAGAGACACAGGTACATATAGACACATAGAGACACAGGCACATATAGACACAGAGACAAAGGTACATATAGACACAGAGACACAGGTACAGAGAGACACAGATAGACACAGGTACATAAAGACACAGAGGGACACAGGTACAAATAGACACAAAAAGACACAGGTACATACAGTATAGACACAGGTAAAACAGACAGAGAGAGACACAGGTACAAACAGACACAGAGAGACATAGGTACATATAGACACAGAGAAACAGAAATACAAACTAACACAGAGAGACACAGGTACATACAGACACAGAGAGACACAGGTACATACAGACACAGAGAGACACAGGTACATATAGGCACAGAGAGACACAGGTACATATAGACACAGAGATACACAGGTGACACAGGTACATATAGACACATAGAGACACAGGTACATCAGGATGGGTCAGATGCAGAGGACAAGTTTCCCTACGGGGACAATCAAAGTGTACATTTAGAGAGACACAGGTACATTTAGACACAGAGAGACACAGGTACATATAGACACAGAGGGACACAGGTACATATAGACACAGAGAGACACAGGTACAGTACATATAGACACAGAGAGACACAGGTACATATAGACACAGAAAGACACAGGTACATATAGACACAGAGAGACACAGGTACATATAGACACAGAGACAAAAGTACATATAGACACAGAGGGACACAGGTACATATAGACACTGAGGGACACAGGTACATATAGACACAGAGACAAAAGTACATATAGACACAGAGGGACACAGGTACATATAGACACTGAGGGACACAGGTACATATAGACACAGAAAGACACAGTTACATATAGACACAGAGGGACACAGGTACATATAGACACAGATAGACACAGGTACATATAGACACACAGAGACCCAGGTACATGTATACATGTATTACTATGGCAACCACTGCTCTTAGTGGCATCAGGATGGGTCAGATGCAGAGGACAAGTTTCCCTACGGGGACAAAGTGCACATTTAGAGAGCGGCGGAGATTGGTGTGACTACGTCCGTTAATATTTACAGTCTATGGTCGAGATAGACACAGAGAGACACAGTTACATGTAGACCAGAGAGACACAGGTACATATAGACACAGGTACATATAAACCCAGAGGGACACTGGTACATATAGACCAGAGAGACACAGGTACATATAGACACATAGAGACACAGGTACATATAGACCAGAGAGACACAGGTGCATATAGACCAGAGAGACACAGGTACATATAGACCAGAGAGACACAGGTACATATAGACCAGAGAGACACAGGTACATATAGACCAGAGAGACACAGGTACATATAGACACATAGAGACACAGGTACATATAGACCAGAGAGACACAGGTACATATAGACCAGAGAGACACAGGTACATATAGACCAGAGAGAAACAGGTGCATATAGACATAGAAACACAGGTACATATAGACACCGAGAGACATGGGTACATGTAGACACAGAGACACAGGTACAGATAGACACAAGTACATATACACACAGAGAGACATAGGTACATGTAGACACAGAGAGACACAGGTACATGTAGACACAGAGAGACACAAGCGAAATACATGGGGCGGGGCAAACAATCACCAGGGAGACCAGACAGAAAGTAAAACTAAACTAAACATCAGAGAAATTAAGTGAAAACAAAACCAAGTAAAACAAAAGTAAAATCCACACCATGACATCATTTCCAATACTTTGGTTCAGTCCAGTTCACATTGTTTGGGTGTTTTCCGTGTTCTGTTGATGCTTTTCTCTGTAACATGTAAACGTGTCTCTGCAGGGCATCGGCTCGGAGCAGGGCCTCTCTGAGATCCTGAGGAAGATGGGTGTGGGCTCCGGAGAGGGCATCTCCTTCAGCCACTTCTGGAACCTCATCCAGCAGCTGGCTTCATCTCAGCACAGCATCCTGAGTCAGGGAGCCGGCTCAAACTGCAGCTGTGCCCTGTTCTGAGCCCAGGGGCCCCAGTCTCTAGCACTTGCACGCAAACACACACACCTGACCTGACCTTTAAGCCAGCAGACCCACTCTATAGAACAAAAAGCGATACGCACCATTTCAAGATTTAAAATTATAGCATCAGATTTGTTACTACCGTTTTTAGAGCTGGAAAATCTCCTTCACAAATCTATGAAAAACAGTTGAAATTCTATGGACCAAACTTTGTGAAAATGAATCCTTTTAATGCCAAAGCAACATTATCAAAATTGCTACATTATATTAGCATAACTTCCAACCCAACTCTACACAACCTGGTGATATCCCCTTGTGGAGAAGGTTGCCCACCCCTGCTCTCGCCCACTCAGTAAAAAAAAAAAATGTCTTTTTAGGATCAGTTAAATCTGTTACTGCCAACCCCCACTCTACATTTAAAGACCCAACTGCATGCTTTCGTCAATATGCTTTTCTTGTTGTTTTATTATGTCCTGCAACAACTGTCAATCTTCGAAATGCATTTTTATGACCACATCATGTCTTTCTTACATTAAACTTTCCATTTCAAATCATTGTGTTTTTGTTTCTATTGTCAAGTGAATAAATTTTATAGCCTCCAGTAAAAGGGGGTGTACTGGGAAACCCTTAATATTTACAGTCTGTGGTTGACACGGCCTGTACAGTCCAGAGCCGTGGCAATACTTGGGTTTGGGTGTTTAGAGGCTGAACCGACCTGGTTTGTAGCTTGGACTCAGTTCCCAGCCTTGATCATCTTGGAGCTGGAAATGTGAAACTGTTATATTGTGACCACAAAGGCTCCAAGAGAGAAAACAGTCAAGTTGGGAAATTATTTTGGAAAAGTCCCCAGTAAACTATCATTTTTATGACTTATGTAAATGGCCAGTTTACCAGTTTGTCAGTTTTTTTTACGTGCTCATTATGAAGCATCAGCAAAACATTAGGCAAGTGTTAAATAGCCTACCAAACATAATAATAATACACACAATCATGAACAGATCCTTCTCCGATTATTGTATCACATTTTGTCTCTTGATTTAAAAGCACTTACTGGATATAATTGAAGAACTATACTACAAAAGCAGAATGAGTATTTGTGTTACGGTTTTGTGTTGAATCCCAAAGCAGATTAAAAAAATAGAATCAAATAATGATTTCATTCACACAAAAACACCGGCCGACGGGTAAAGAAGATTCTTTCCTTGTGAATTGGTAATTACAAGTGTGTTCTGTCCAAGTACTTTTGTTTGGGTTAGGGTTAGTTGAAAAACGAAACTACATCTCATCGTGTTCTGTATTTCCTTGTGTTTAAGACTGAACATCCTGCTGTCATTTGAACATTTCACATTTATGAATATGAGGCAAAATGCACCATAAAACCCTGGAAGTGAATGTGGTGCATTTAGTAAGAGTCGTGCCATTACAGTTTAAATTCTGAAAAGTGTTGTTATTACTATTACTGTACGTGTAAACCACAGATACAGTATGAGTAAACATGCTCACAATTGCTCAAAATGATCTTTCAGTTCTCCATAGAAACCATGAGGTGAAGTCGTTCATATCAATAATACAGTGATGCATCAAAGGTGATCATCTTCAGTGCTCTTTTATCTAATCGAGTACAAAAAGATATAATACAGTAGGGTTTGTTTTGATTGTTTAGCAGCAGACCAAGCTTTTTTATAGCAAAAAACACGAATGCAGGACAAGCATTGAGTTAAGTATGTGTGACTCCAGAAACTTGGTGTCACACAGAGTATTTTTCAAGTGGACCTTACAGTGTTTATTATGTTTCAGTTTTCAGGCATTTACAGAGAGAGTGGTCTAACTATAGCCAAGTATACTTTACAAAACAGGTAAAGATGCACTTTTTTGATCCCTATAAGGCAATTCATCCGCTGCCTTTGACTCATCCTGATGCCACTAAAGTCAGGAGCAGTGGTCGCCGTAGTAACAGCGCCCGGGAACCCATCTGCAGATGTTGATACTCGGCTTGGTCAGGACTTCCAGAGCTGGAGGATTTACCTCTTGTACCGTATTCATAGGGGCGACAGTAGAAAAATGATGTTGGGATTTTGAGCGCCACAGAAATACATTGATTTGGAGAAACACTATTGGTCTTTATCAGATATATTGTCACATGCTTTTTGGTTGTTGTTCAATAAAGACATATATATATATATATATATATATTTTTAAAAAAAAAATTGTCCACTCACCTTTGGCCCTCCGCGGGCGGTTATCCCTCTCTAAGCTCGGGTCCTCTACCAGAGGCCTGGGAGCTTGAGGGTTCTGCGCAGTATCTTTGCTGTTCCTAGCACTGCACATTTCTGGACCGAGATATCCGAGGTTGTTCCGGGGATCCGCTGTAACCACTCTTCTAGCTTCGGGGTCACTGCCCCGAGTGCACCGATCACCACGGGCACTTCTGTCACCTTTACCCTCCAGGCCCTCTCCAGCTCCTCTCTGAGCCCTTGGTATTTCTCAAGCTTTTCATGTTCATTTTTCCGGATGTTACCATCGCTTGGAATTGCCACGTCCACCACCACGGCTGTCCTCTGCCCTTTGTCTACCACCACAATGTCAGGTTGGTTCGCCATTACCATTCGGTCGGTCTGTATCTGGAAGTCCCACAGGATCTTTGCACGCTCATTCTCCACCACCTTTGGAGGAGTTTCCCACTTAGACCTTGGGGTTTCCAGCCCATACTCTGCACAGATGTTTCTGTACACTATGCCAGCCACTTGGTTATGGCGTTCCATGTAGGCCTTCCCTGCCAGCATCTTGCACCCTGCAGTTATGTGTTGGATCGTCTCAGGTGCCTCTTTGCACAACCGACACCTTGGGTCTTGTCTGGTGTGGTATATCTGGGCCTCTATCGCTCTGGTGCTCAGGGCCTGTTCCTGTGCAGCCATGATGAGTGCCTCTGTGCTGTCCTGTAAGGCCAGCCCTTTCTAGCCATTGGTAGGACTTCTTGAGATCAGTCACTTCTGTTATGCTCCGGTGGTACATGCCGTGTAGGGGCTTGTTCTCCCATGATGGGCTCTCCTCCAGCACCTCCTCATCTCGCCACTGCCTGAGACATTCACTGAGTACGTCATCCGTTTTGGCCTTCTCCATGATGTAGTTATGGAGTTTGGATGTTTCGTCCTGGACAGTGGCTCTCACACTCACTAGTCCTCGGCCTACTTCTTTACGGCTTACGTACAGTCTCAGGGTGCTGGATTTGGGATGGAACCCGCCATGCATGGTAAGGAGCTTTCGAGTTTTAACATCCGTGGTCTGAATCTCCATATATATATATATATACATATATATATATATATATATATATTAAGAGTCCAACTTTACTAGGTTGGAATAAGCTACTTAAAGATAAATAATAATAACCTAATTACTATAATGAAAAAGTTATTTACGTTTTCATCTAACAACGATAGATAACTATTTTTCCAAGTCAAACTTTTGCACAACATACATTTCACTTTTTATGACAAAACGTGTGACAAACGTGCGATACAAGTTGATTTATTCTGAATACACAACTTCAGATAAAATTGGTAATGATGGAATGAAAAAAGTATAAATCTACAAGTTAAAGGATAAGTTGATTTCTTCTTTTCTGTAGTGAACAAAGTGATGATCTTATTGTCGTCGCGCTGGGCAGTTGAAAAAAGGCTCCGTCTCTGCTGCAGTCACTCCTGGATCTGCTAAAACTCTTCCTGCAGACAACTCAAAGCCTCCAGGAAACGTCAAAGTGAACCGTCTCTGTGCGAATCCCAAAGCTCCGATCAGCAGCCACAAGATGAGGCTCACCCACACGGTCGTCTGAGGAGAGAGACAGCAGTCAGTCACACACTGCAGAAAGTGAAGAAAAAAGTCCAAAAATGTTCAAACATGGTAAAAAGTATCTTAATTTGAGAATTTTCTTGGCTTTCATTAAACTGGCCAGTAGGGGGTGAATGAGCAGAGGTGGGACAACTCAGTTTTGATTCCATTGAAAACCATGTAAATCGTGTCTGTTTAGGAGTCCAAAGGCTCTCCTCCTGTGCGGTGTACAGTTGTAGTAACAGTCTTAATCGGGGACAGTCCGTTCTAAGTACTAAAAAATATTTCTCAAAAGAGTCTTGATTTTGGCCATTTAAAAAAAAAAATAACAGAAGAAATTGCTGCGTTTCATTTGGGTGGCCTGCAGGGGGCGCTCTTCTGGGAGAGCCTTGATCCACCTCACCCGCCTCATTTGAGTGATTTTTTCAAAGTGTCCTCCTTTTTATAAGACCGCAGTTGGAACACGGAACAAACTCTTGTCTTTCTCTCTATTTGTGCGGTTGCTACAAGCGTACACCGCACACAAAGAGGGCATTTTGACAGCACTTCTTCTTCTACTATATCTCCGTGTATAAACCCGGCAGACTACACCGCTAGGGTACGTCACGTCCTGTCCTACGTTTGTTGTTTGCGCCACTGCCCTGTCATATGAAACCCAAGAATTTTGATTGGCGCCGTGGTAAGAACTGGGTTGGGGTTGTCTTGCACGGTTTTTCCAATGTGGTTTTACTGCAAATGGCAAACACTGTCAATTCTTGAATCTTAAAAGGGTTGCCAATGGGATATACACTGCTAAAAACTGGGTTGAATAAGTGATATAGGAGACATTGGATCTCATTTAACAACATAATGTGCCTACTGCATGTCCAAATTGTGCAGCTTTCTGATCTCAGTCGCCACAAGTTGGAGTTCTCCCGATGAATGAGAGGGTCATGTCCCTCCTTCTTTGGGTGAGGGACAAGTGTCTCACTGTTGTAGCAGTGGTCTTGTTAGAGTCCCTGGTACTGGACAGTGCATGGACTGGGACTCTGTTATTCTCCTGGTGGACTTCATCTACTGGAGGATCGGGAGGAGGCTGAAGATCTTGGGACGGATACTTCATCTCTCTTTCTGATGTCATTGAGATAGTTTCCTACTACTTCTAGTCTGATAAACTCTGGCCCATTTCTAACATGATGGATTTACATTTCAATAAAAAATATCTTTATAATCAGGGGCGTTAGTGCTCAGTGAATTGGGTGCCGTTCTGATTGCCACACCCCACCCCCGACCCAGAAATGGATCACGGGAAAGAAGATGGATAGACAGAGTAGACATATGGACGAATGGATAGATCAGGTAAAACAAGCCATGACATATAAACCTCTCATTGTCAATGCTGGTCAGTTAAATATAATACATTTAAATAATTTCAGTGGCCTCTAAAATGAGTCTGTTTGATACATGTGATCAAAATTGATTTTAGAAGTCGCAGAAAAAGCTAAGAAAAAGATGCTGACCTCAGATTTGTGCAGGTTGCTGTAGAAGCGGTCTCCTTTGAGCGGACTTGTCCAAGCTTTCCATTGAGCTTCATCACAACTGAATAAAAATAGGATATTTCTGATTAATGATATGCATCTTATGACTCTGAACCGCTAACGTTTGCACCTACAAAGACACACCCAGTCCAGAGGAAATCACCTGGTTATATTAGGCACTGCTTGTGTGATGGAGTTACAGAGTGTACTGCTGCCGTTCCTCAGAATGCAGCCTGTGACGAGGAGGAAGAAGAGGAATCCTGCGCAGACACAGGCCGTGAAGGTCGTCCACAACCGCTCCCTGTCAACAACCACATCACATCCAGCCGTGAACTGACTGCACCAACTTAGAGTAAAGATGAAGATTAAAAGATCTTTGATTCATCCCACAGTGGGAAAGTTAATGACGGTAGGAATGAGGAGAACACAGCACAAGATAAGTGAATTATAACTCTATTCTGAAATCAAATCAAGTGAAATAAAATCTAATAAATACATTTCCAGTGTTAAGCAGAAAGGTAAGGAGATACATCTACTGGTCTCTGTTCACTTTCATGTCTAAACAACGAACCAAAAAACTACAGTATTTATTTTAAGATATTTAAACAAAGATATTATAAGTGAGGACTTTAAACTGTATTTAATCTGCTTAATTGACAAATCTTACATTTTAATTGGACCTCTGTGAACTTCTCATCAGTTCTGTTGGCCTACTGTTACTTGGCAAATTGTTTTTTGGCACTACATGAAAAAATAAAAACAATAAGCCGCACCTCACAATGAGCAGCAGACTTCAAAATCCAGGAAAAAAGCCGCGGCTTATAGTCCGAAAAATACGGTACTCGTTGCTTGTCACACATGTTTTATTTGCTCGGTCTGTTGCTGAGAGAAATATCTCATCTCGTAAGATCTAACAAATCTCAAATAAAATAAAATATCTAACTCTAGCATAAAAAGAAGCAGTATAAAATCTCTATATTTTGCATGATAAGGAAAAATCTCCAACTTCAGCCTGATGAAGAAGCAAGACCTGACACAGACCTGGAGCCTCCCTCCGTCCTGTTGTCCAAATGTTTTTCTTTTGTGTTTTTATGAAAACATTTGAGGTATAAGACACATTCTTAAACTGTGATGTGGAGGCCAGAGCCTTGCATTAACAGTTTGGTTGCTTAAAAATTGTTTTGGGGAAATCAAAAGTAAAATTCCTCTTTGACAGCTTCTATGTTGACTTCTGTTTATCCATTCAGTATGACACGTCAAAATAAATACTCTCAAGATCACGATGCAGCATTCGTCACCTTTTCATGTTTCCGTCGATGCAGAAAGAGTAGAGGCAGTGCAGGGAGAGGGAGAAGCCCACCACAGACATGAGAACTGCAATGGTGGAGACAAAGTGACACACAGACGGAGAGCTGGAGGACACCACGTCGATAGATTCAGAAGTTTTGTTGTAAGAAACAAGCCCATAGAGCACACACAGACCTGCAAAGCGACCCTGTGAACAAGAAAGACAGAGCAAGAAGAACAGATGCCCGGTTTCAGCATCTCAAGAACATTCTTTCGACATGTTTTTTTTTTCTTTCTTTTTTTTACACACAGGATGTTGAGCATATTCAAATTTCATTTACTTTACACACATACTGTATGCACTGTAGTGTTAAGCCTAGCGTACATCGGACTGGCAACTGATTATATCCGTCGCCTCTGAGTTGCTGCCCCGCACACATCGACAATCTGGCGAAAACGGGCAACTCTGAGTCGCAGGCCAGTCTCTTGAATAACAGCGCGTACATCGACAGCAACTGGCCTCAACTACAGTGTGTTTTCTGACATAAACGGTTGCGGGCGCGCTATACACGCAATACACACACGTTGTCGGAGCGGCGCATGGAGCGCGCACATCGGAGCAACTGAGGACAACTAGTTGCCGAAAAGTAGAACACGGGCAACTGACTGGAACTGGAGACCGACTGATCATCTCCAGTTGTAAGAGCGCGCACATCGACCGATTTCGGCAACTGATCATCTCCCACCATCTCCTCTCAGTTGCCAAAAGCCGCCTTGCAACTAGTTGTCCCCAGTTTCTCTGTCGATGTACGCTAGGCTTAAGGGAGCATTTTATCTTCCAAGCAGCTCAACAAATGATTAAGAAATGACAAATAATCTGCTAAACATAGATTATTTGGCGGCACGGTGGCTGAGTGGATAGCACTCTCGCCTCTCAGCAAGAAGGTCCTGGGTTCGAATCCCGGCCGGACCAGGGCCTTTCTGAGTGGAGTTTGCATGTTCTCCCCGTGTCTGCGTAGGTTTCCTCCGGGTACTCCGGTTTCCCCTACCACTAAAAATATGTACAATAGGTCTGGCATGCGCCTCCTGTTCGGCGACCCCGCTCCCATCTCTGTGTGGAGTGAGAGGACAAGTGCCCAAAAATAACAATTGTAAACCGCTTTGTGACTCTGGTCTGTGAAAGGCGGTATATAAATAAAGCTTACTTACTTACTTACTTACTTACTTATTTGTGTTACAAATACACAGAAAAGGATCACTAAATATTTGTGATTCCCATAAGTCTGGAGCACTGCATTAATACAAATGACTTCTTATATGAATTTCTTCTTGATAGCTTTATTAATTATTTTTTAATTTACATTCATAATTACTTAAAATTGGGCGTTTACTTAAAAATCCTATCACTGCTGCAAGTTCAACGTATTTAGTCTAAAGGAAAAACTTGTCAGGGGCCACTAAAATGGAGTGTATGACACCCCTGCTTAAATAGATAAGAAGAAATATTTTTTAGATAAGCCCGGGGTTTAGGCCCCTGAACTTTTCATGTCCTCGGAGGCAAGCGTGAGTATGGAGCGCCACCGCCACCACGTGGTTCAAAAAAGTAGTGCAACTTTGTGAAAGACAAACAGATTTAGAAATGTTTTGTGTTCTCACTGTGGGAGAAACAAAGCTGTCATTTGTAAAAGATCGATAAAGGTATAAATTACGTAAAATATTCTGATGAAAGCACAACCACGCAATATCACCTGCATGAAATCATGGAAATAGAGTAATTCTCTTTCCAAGGCAAGAACATTTATCAAACTGGAAGTAACGACCACCATGGAGAGAACAGTGATTCAATGTTATTTCTTTTTACTAATACATTTTGTTTCCAGATGATCCAGTCCCTGTACCTTCTATCCCACTGCAGAGTCACCAGGATCAATAAAACTGTATTTCTTATGTGAAGAAGCTACACAAACTGGACGCTTGTTTCTAAACTAAGGAAATGAAAGAAAGTAGCATAATTCAATTGCAACAACGATCACTTTGTGACCGACTTTTCTTTAAATGTGTGAGCATAACGCACACATTTCAGGGTGAGCATGAAAGCTTTTTTTAAGCACCATCTGTGGCTCACTTTCTCCCTCTCAGTGAAGTTACTGATAATACATTTCAGTTAGTTACAGAAACAAAATGTGATTAAAGTCAGATGAGAGGAGTCTGGGTGGTACCTGGGTTATGGTTATAGATGCAGCCGTCACAATTCCACAGACGAAACAGCTGACATACAGCACCAGCTCCAGGATCAGCACTGCGGTTCCTGCCATGGTTCAACCAACTGCAACAGACAGCAAAAAGATCTTTCACTCATTCCTCCAACATTCCTCAGAAGAAAACCTTTACTTACATTCCCAATTTCAAAGTATGAGATTTGTTTTGTGTGGCGGTCCCAGCGGTGTGCCAATGTCCCCGCTGCCTGCCATCTCCTGATGTGCTGACCAAGCCTGAAATGGCTTTTTGTCACAGTGATGGTTCAATTTAGCAACTTAGGCATACATTTTCTTCAGCCCTGAACAGGACTCGGTTAATTACCAACAACATAAAGTCTGTTTGGGTCTATAGGAAGGATACAGTGCCTCAGAAGCCAACCATGTAGCAGTCATGTGATGAGGCTGCTCCCAGACTGGATCTTTGTTTCAGTGACTGCAGGAACATGTGTCACATACAGCACTTTATCCATTTATTCCTTCTTCTTCTATCTTCGTCCATCTTCTTCTATCTTCAGCCAGATTTTGTCTCAACAGCGTTATACCTTTTTTGATGTGGTTGTCCGTAAACCTGTACTTTTTTCCCTTTTTTTAGTTTAACCATTTTAACTAACTTTTCAGTATTATAATACTTTGAAGTACTTTTACTTGAAGTACACTTTTATCCACGGAAATCACTTTTTTCTTCGTAACAATGTGTGATGTATCACATTACTTTTGATATATCTACATTTTGAAGTATTTGCAGTACTTCTAGTTCAAGCATGTGTGCATGTGTGCGTGTGTTTGTGTGTGTGAGAGAACTATGAGCAAGACCAGACCAGACTCGGTTCGAAGTCAAGACCAAACTATAGCCACCATCACCACCAACATTTCTACTACTACTACCATCCCAAATACTTCTACCTCTATCCAAAATATTACTCTAATATGTGGTTCTTTCTGTTCCTAACCCTGGGATTGTGTTTCTTTTAGAATAATTCAAGTATTCAGTGTTTTCAGTCTCAGAAGTGTCTTTGAGCCAGTATGGAATGATAGTGGGATGTCATTATTATGTTGTGTATTGGGCCAAGACTCCTTTTAATTAATTATGCAAAGATGAAGAACTGTTTTATTTGGGAACAATGAATGATGGTGTCATTCTACCGAAAGATACAAAAACAGTTCACTGTATTACACTGTACGATATTATAATGTATTGTAATCATTGAGAAAGAGCTCATGGCGCCTGGTGCTTCTCTCTGCGCCACTTTGTACAGAGACACAACAGCATAAACATTATAAACAGGGAAACAGAGCAGGCTCATGAGGCCATGGTATGATTTGATTTAAAACCTTATATCAATTCTTTTCTCACTTCATATTTGAACATAGTGTATGCCGTCACCGTGACACACACATGGAGCAGGATGTGTGAGAAACCACTACTGTACAGTCTTCCCTCATCCCCACAACACACAAACACTGGTCATGCCCAACAATCTCACCACTAACATCATGAAACACAACTTCCACACACATATTTAACTGGAAACACATCAAAAATAAATCTTGATAAAGCAAATTGATTGATCCAGTTTTCTACTGGTGTTTTTTTCAACTGGGAAAAGTGGCTAAAGTTTGATCTTAGAGTGAGGATTCCTTTAATCAGACATATGGAGATGATGAAGATGAAATATCTGAGACAAATATAACGTTTTCTTGGGAGAAGTGTCTTCATTATTTTGGAAGAAAATTCCTTCCCTGCCAGTGTTAATCCAATTAGAGGGTCATGGATTGTGCTAAATGGTGTCACAAGACCCTGCTCACAATGAAAGGACTATCCCACTGGACGTCCAGGGATCATCGGCCAGCGTTCTGTCCAGCTCAAACATGCTTCTATAAAGGGCTCTTCTCCAGCACTGTCCCTGTCCCTGTCTCTGCCAATCCAGTTAGTGACATTAAAGTCCTTAAAGCCACTTCAGAAATGTTGATGAATTCACAGGGACCTAAAACACAAGAATATTATTGTTAAATTTTATAAAATGGCATGAAAATAACCAGAAGCATCTTTAGGATAGTAACTAGGACAGGTACCGAGAACACACATTCAATAACTCAGAATACAGTCATTTGAAGTACATTAGAATGTTTCATCCTAGAACGTTCAAAATGTACAATAATATGAACAAAATATATTAAAACGTCCCTTTTAGTGATACATCCAGGTGTGTTTTAACCTTTTTGAATCAATATTATCAGTAATGCAGAACAAACCATGTGAAAATAAAGTTCAACCCAAATCAATCAATCTGTATTCCAAGTGTTCAGGTTAATTATATTTGAAGCTAGCTAAATTGTGAAGCCTATTGGAAAGTAAACTATTGTAAGAAGAACTATGTGGGTCACTATGTGGAGGTCTGTTGGCCTGATTACATGATATATCGTATCATGTGAAACTGCTCTATGGCTCTGCTGAAATCCTCCATGCACGGGACATGGGACAGCAACAAGTTAGATTCATTCATTACTATTAGATTTTAGATTTTTCACAATTATATTTTACATTGTACATTTGATCTTACCTGGAATGCATTACTTTTGTTGGAGTGCAAGTTTAAAATGTGATTCAGCTTTTTGTCTTGTCCAACCTGCAGCCGTCTGTCTCCGCTTGCAGGTGCCCCCGCCCTACAATTAAAAGAAGCACAGGAAATAAATTCAGTGCAAAATACAACCTATCAAGTCTGGATGTATTTACAGTCTGATTTATGTCTCTTTAATGTCTTGAATGACACAGGTCTCCAGGCAGCTGCTTGTCCCGACAGAGGCCACTTGGGGGAAGTGTTGCTCCTGTACCGTTTATAGAACTTTTTTACAAACACTTTTTCATACTTCAGAATTGAGGTCAAATTGAACTGAAATAAGACATATTTTTCTTTGAGAAATCGTGGCTCTCACAATCTGCATGAAACAAACTTAAACTGCAGAAAATAAAATGAAAGTAATACATATTGGCTTAAATTAATGTCAAATAATTGGTGAAATACAGAGGAGTGTAGTGTAGTGTCAGCTCAATTTGAGAAGCACTGCAAAATTGTGAAAAAAACAAACAAAAAAAAACAGCAGAATATAGGGAGTCCCCAAAAGGCGGCCCGTGTTACTGTGACAGACCACTGTACACACATTTATTGAGTGCAAATGAAAATTACATGAACTAGAACTACAATGTCATGCAATGCTCCAGTCATCACAATCACTATGGGGACGAGGCCTGAGAAATAGAAAGTCACAGAAAGCAAAGCAGGGGACACATCACATCCAATGGTCCAAAATGTCATGAATGGCAGAGGAGGCAAAGGCTTCAGCTGAGGATCCCATGACCATGTAACAGCTGGTGCTGAAGAACTACTTGAGAAAACCTCACTTTCAAATGTGTGTTATTATTTACAAAATCATGTATCCTTTTGCTTTCACTTGACAATTGCCCGTTCATTTGTTGTGGTATTTTGGAAAAAATAAAGTATGTCTCTGGTTGTAACATGACACAATGTGCAGAAAACATTGTCTTTTTTCCTAGACTTCTGCCTGTATACAACTTGAAAAATGATGGAATTAATCAACTGGTCCCTCAACGCAATTGATACTATTTTTTCATCACGTAAAGGCGGTTCTGGAGATGCCGTTTGCCCGGATGGTACGGCGGCTGCTGGGTACGTTTTTGACAACTGGCAAAAGTGGCACCCCGTTTGTCTGTCGGGACTGTCCATCGAGGACATTGAGGATATATACATTTTTGGATTTATGGTAGCAGGGTTCCTCCTGATTGGATTTGGAGTTGGCTTGATCTACCGCAAAGTTGGAGGGCTGTCCACTCAGAATATTTACGAGCGGCTGTCCGCGGAAAACAAGGAGAGTTTCCGCGAGTTGGTCAGAGTCGTGGTCGAGGGCACAGTGGGGACACAACGGGGTGTGAGTCGGATCGAACATTCCCTTAACGACCTGGGAGTGAGATCTTTGGATGGACTTAAACGCGTGGAAGGATTGATTGAAGGCCTTGGGCCTCACGGTGGAACCTCGTACTGACGTGGTCAACTCCGGATAACGGTGAACGGAGGGTCCAGTTCCAGTATAATTTGGACATATTGGCTTTAGTTTACACTGCCTTTCATTGATCAGCTAAAGTGCTTATACAAATTTCCCACAAGGGCATGTGTTGTTTTGTCTCCAATGTTTGCAGGCACCTGCGCTATCTTTGTCCTTCACATTCCACCACCACACACGGCCACTCAAGGCTGACACTGGACTCTTATCTATCTCAGACTCACAACCCATAACACCAGTTACAGTCCCCCCCCCCTTCTACATGTCTGCCTCTCTCTCTTTTTCAGTCTATGGTGGTCTTCCCCTCCACCTCCCCCACCCACACTCCCCTCTGACGCGCTATATTGGACGAGGCGGGCCAGAGTGATGACTTCCCATTAAAAAGATCCGCATGTTTTTCCACATGTACCGTGTCTCTCCCCATGTTTGTTGAAATATGTGTCTGTTTTGCTCTCTGCTGTTGAATAACTGTCATAAAGAGCGCGGAAAATTAGAGTACGCGGCCGGCCTTGATGTTTATTCATCGAACTGAATTTCTCCATCTGTGTGAGATAATAAAGGATTGATTGATTGATTGATTGATTGAAGTTCACACTTTATGAATACTTTTGCAAGGCACTGTATGCAGACAAAGAAAATCTGAAAAGTATTTTATTCTGACCTTGACATCAGGGAAGTTGTTCTTGGGTGTGTTGGCGCTGGGATAGTGGGTGTAGAAGAACATGACTTTGGCCTTCTTCAGATGACATGGGGACAAGCCGTCCTGACCGTTCGCATTGTTAAAGAAGACATTAATTTTGCTGAATCAATGAGAATGAAACTATGTTATATGGTCCCCCACATAAAAAAAACACCAGGGCTTGTTTTTAGATCCATTCAAACTGGTATGTATTCGTATGATGGGATTATACCACTATGACATCATGCAAGTTTTCTGCCAAACAAAACTATAGTCTATAAATGTGTGTTTGTAGCCGGTAAATTGAAAATGTCATTGAAAAACGAATACACACAAAGAGAAAAGGACATTCTGTATCCAACATACAAAGATGCTGCTATTGCGTGTGTCTATGAGCCTCCAACCTGACTCACTCATTACATTCATGTCTATTGTGCATAATACATAGTGGTAGGGGAAACTGTCTGTACAGGCACAGGGAGAACATGCAAACTCTACACACAAATGCCCCAACTGGCCTGGGGATAGAAGACCGACCTTCTTGGTGTAACCGCTGCACCCTCGTGCCTGACTACATCTTGTAGATGTACTGTATTTGGTTTGCAGTGTTATGATGTTATTACGGATTATGTTTCAGAAAAAGGATATTCCTGAAGCGGACAGGTGTAGGTCCATTGCACCTCTTTCTCCATGTACGCCCACACCCGCCCTCCTCCCATTCCCCCACCCTGGGACTGGATCAGGACCTGTGGACTCTGGGAATCCCACCAGAGGAGGAAGAACAGTTGAGGAGTATGGTTGCTCCAACTCGGCCAAGCGTTTTCTGTCCATCTGGAGGTTTCTGGCAGAATGTCCACGTGACATAGTCCTGGAGTACAACTGCTGCATGGAGTAGTGTAGCAGGGGGGAGGCCTCCATTGACTGTAGATGCTGATGAGGTTGATAAGGGGAGGGGGAAGGGGCATGAGCATGAAATGATGAGGAGTTGGTAAGATGACCAAACAGGCTGGGCTCAGTTGGGCGGGTCTGAAAAGCTGCTGATTCAGTTTGTTGGTTTGATTGTCTTGGAGTAATACACTTTTTGCCGTAAACTTCCCATAATCTCTTTGTTTCTTCTTCCAGAATCCCCCTTTTGTCATTCACAAAGGAAACAACCGGAGAAGAAGAAAGAAGCTCCGGTCCAGATGTCTCAGTACAAATGGTCAGAACTCGGTCGACAACCCTGGCCATGGTATTTCTGAGCTTAGCCTTCAACAACTGTGCAAACTGCTGATGCTCATTTTCTCCCAACTGGGGCTCGTCATGAACCTCTCCTTTGGAAAGTTCAGCACACTCCCACCACAGAGTTGTCTTGAGCTCTTCCACCCCAGGACCAGGGTTTCTGTTTTGTTCCATGTTACCTGTACAAAGATTCTCACTGGCCATCCTCATATTCTGTCCCTCATTCTGTCCAAAAGTCTTCCACACTTTTTCTTGAAAACTTGAAAGTTTCTTCTTCAACTCTCCCACTTTAACTTTTAGTTCATCCTTGTCTTTTCTCTTACTCGTTCCACAGTGTTCATGGCTTACTGCTTTTTTTTTCACTGGAGGCAAATTTTGATTCCAACCAAAATCTTCCTTCCTCTTATTTTTAGCTCCCAAATTTGTTGATTTTGTCACAGCTTTTGAACTCATTCCAATTCCCAAACCTTCCAAAATGTGTCCCTGGTCTCCCTGAATGTTGATGCTTCTGCCGGCGGGACAGGGTAAGGCTGGCTGTGGAAAGGGGGTCACTGATTCTTTTGGAGGCTCTTGGCAGGTGGTAAGGTAAAAGGAATAAGGGCTTTCGCATATTCTCATTTGGAGAGGAGCGATGTCAAAGAAGTGATCGACCATTCTTCTGGAAAGAAAAACAGAGAATTGACCGTAAACAAAATTTACATTAAGAAGAGTGAGTTTTATTTTTGGTTGTTTACTTAGATGTCTTATATTATATTGTTCTTGCCTTGTGACATATACGCATCTTCTTCATCCAACCCATTCTCAAACCATGTACTGTATGTATACTTGTGTCTGTTTTTTTTGTACTGTAAAAATGTCTTTTGTGTTAACCAAACCTTTTTAGTGGGCATGTGTTTTCTAATCGTGTCCCTTTGACAGACCGCACATTCTGACCAGATGCAGCCAGTCCATGAGCAGCCTCAGTGACTACAAAGTTTAAAAAGAGCTCTCCCTCTCATTCAGCTCTAAGCCCAAAGAGTCAAATAGTAAATATAATACTGCCTGTGCCTAAATATAACTAATCTGCATCTTAATCTAAAAAAAACCATACACTTTTTTTTTAACTTACTGATCCTAGTCGACTAAAGTTGGTATTTTTTGCCGTTTTCATCTTTACTCACAATATTTGTTATTCGTTTTTGAGTTTGTGTGGTGATTGCCACAGGTGCAACAGGGTGGCGAGGCAGAGCGGAAGTGCAATCATAGAAGTGCAATCAAAGAAGTGCAATGGGATGGGGCACACGGGCACGACGGGCCATGATGCTACGCCAGATACAACTGGGACAAAGTGGGGAGCTCGGCTTTGCTCCACGAGTATCTAACCAATCCAAAGTTCGACATTCTGACCTGCTTCTGTTAAAGGGGTCCTGCATTTGGCCAGGAGGGACTGATCACACACACACCAGAGAGCACAGGTTGTGACGCCCCACCTGTGACGCAAGTAGCGGCTTACGTAGCAGTGCTCTATTTGGCTTTGGATAAACTGGTCCACGCATTTGTCACTTCAACAAAAAAACCACATGGCGTGATGATGGGACTCCTGAACCCTGCCTCTTTGACCTGTACCGGTAAACTGAGAGGATCCCTCTCTTACTATGGGACTGCCTGAGTCTTCCCACATTTTTTTAGTTCTTTGCAGATGTAAGATGGTCTAAGAACAGAGATGATTCAGGACATTTATGGACTTTGTGTGCCGTCCACCAGATACAGTACATGTGTTCATATCTACAAGCAATGAGGACAAAGAATGGAGACCAGTCATGGAGAAAAATACAGAGGGATACATTGATGTTCCTCTTTGAGATTGTCACTAGCGGCCGTTTCATTGTGAGGATGAAATTATAATTATACAAATACTCTCTCCCATTCAAATACACCCGACTCTGCTTATTTTTTATGCCAGATGGGCCAGTGCTTATACGAGGATCAGATTAGCCTTTCAAAGCCCCTGAAAAGCTGTGCCGCTTTTGGAGTCAAATGAAAGCCGTTAACAGCTGGCTTAAGAGGGGCAATAAACCTGTGGTATTTGGTCCGACAATCACACTTGGCTTGGATTCAAATTTATATAAAAATGCACAAAAATCTACATTTGGTAAAACATATTTTTTGCTAAATTATTGCCAAGTTTAACAAGATTTCTTTTGTTTTTGTAATAATAGTCTTTCTTGTATCACATGTTTTTTGTTATCATTGATATTCAAAGATGTGGCAGTAAATTAGTCATCACTCAACTTTGGAATGTCATTGTTTGCTTACACTACAACAACATCTGGATATTGTCCTTAAATTCAAGTATTCCACACAAAACATAATATTTCTAGCAAAGATTACAAAGGTAAAAATGTACTCTAAACAAAACATTGTATTACTTTAGAACTGTCATCACGCTGGGGCTGTGAGATTAGAATCAATTTGACCAGACACATTTAGTAAATAGCAGAAACTTGAATGCTGAATTGTGGCAGTGTAAAAACATACTCACTCGAGCTCTGGTGTCCGCGGCTGTGGCACCAAATGGGCATCTGACATAAGGAAATGAGCGACGCTGCCTGTTTTACTGTCCTCATCTGTCATCAACAACCCCCGCCCTGCCCACCCTCATCTCATCTGGGATATGTAATGGCTGCTTTACATCTGCTCCAATCTCACAGCACAAGACTGACAAATGTATGGGTTCCAGGCTATTATAGAGAAAAACAGGCAAAATTGTTTGTACCATTTTACAAGACTTTTCCGTCACCAAAAACACAACCCTGAGATCGGGATTTTTCATTACAATTGTCCACACGCTGTCAAAACACTGCTACATTTACAATTAATCAGGTCAATTTAACTTTTTTGGATTCTATGAACAGTGGATTAGAATGGCGTTTATAGAAGAGATGAGATACGATCCTATATCCTGTTTTGCAGATGATTAAAGGCTGGAAGTGAGTTTTGTAAGAGTTTCCTACTTCAACAAAATAGTCTAAATATGCTTTGTTATCACATTTCTTAATTACATTCAATTCTTCCTTCTCATTAGTGGGAGCGAGGAATATTGAACTTGAACTTGAATGTATTTCAAATAATCCATCCAATTGTTCATTGTGTCATAGTCTGTTAGAGGGTCCAACAAGAAGGACTGTGGTGATGATCCAGGACACTCGACAAACTTGATTAGCTCAGCAGACATCACACAACCTGAAAATGTGTTGTGATGTGGTTCGATCAACATCAATTCTAAAGTGCAATAAACAGTAAATAATACCTATTATACTAAGAATCTAGAGAGAAAAATGTTTGAAAACAATTTAAAAAACAAAATTGTAATAGTAACAGTTGCCATGGTTATTGCTTACATAACAACGGTTGCCATGGTAACAGTTGTCATCGTGATGGTTACCAGGGTAACAGTTACCATAGTGGTTGCCATGGCAACCAGTACTATGTAAGTAATTAATCATAAATCTCAATACTTACTAGACTATAAATCTAGTGAGAAACATTAAAAAAAAGTTGTGTGAAATTCGCTTTTAGAACAAGATTCACCAGATTATTTGTCCGTTGTCATGGTGATGGTGATAATGGTTGCCATGGTAACATTTGCCATAGTGATTGCCATAGAAACAGTTACCCTAGTGATGGTTGCCAGGGTAACATTTGCCATAGTGATTGCCACAGCAGCAGGGTCAGCACTAGATCATATACGGAATCGGGACGGAAGCGGAAGTAAATATAACAAACTACCTATTCATGCCTAAACTTAACCAGCCATTCCCATAAAATAACCCCAACCCAGCCTTAACCCTAACCTTAACCATCTTAATCAGACGCCTAAACTTAACCAGTCACCACTTAAGGACTTATTAGTCTAAAACTAGTATGCTCGTTACTCCCGGTTTCGTTCCGATTCCATATATGATCTAGTGCCGACCATAGCAGCAGATGCAACAGTAATGGTTTCCATGGTGAATGCTGTCATGGCAGCCATCACTATGGGAACAATCTCCATGGCAATTGTTACCATGACAACCACTATCACTATCACCATGACTACGGATGGACCATCTGGTTGCAACTTCTTTTCTGGGAGTTTGTTTCCAAACATGTTTTTTAACTCGCATTTGAAGAACTAACTAGTGTATATTGTTCCAAATTCTTATACAATTTACACTGCAATATTGTTCAGTACCCGCCGTCCCAACGATACACGTGAACTTAGTAAGTGAATGGAATAATTTTGCCCATAATTTTTTGGAATATAGAATCAAGTTTTCAATATGACTTTGCAGGAGCTACAAAGTTCTGCTGCTGAGCTGGGGGAGTCTGTACATGGGACAGCCAGTCGTACTCTATACAAATCTGGCCTTTCTGGACGAGTGGAAAGAAGAAAGCCATCATTGAAAGGAGGCCATAAAAAAATCTTGTTTGAAGTTTGCCAGAAGATGAGGGACACAGCTGCCGTGTGGAAAAAGAACTTTGGTTAGATGAGACATAAATTGAACTTTTTTCCCCAAACGCAAAAATGTTGTGTGGCACAAACCTGACACTGCTCACCCCACCATCCCCAGTGTCATATATGGTGGGGGAGCATCATGCTATGGGACTGCTTTTCTTCAGCAGGGACTGAGAAGATTGTAAGAATAGCTGGGAAGATGGATTGGGCCAAATCCAGG